TTCGGTCTACGAGAGCAAATCATCAATACAAACTCTATATTAAACCAGCTAGACTTAATTGTTACAAAAATTCTTTTTTTATTAGGATTGTCAAATTATGGAACGAGTTACCGGGTGATATAGTGGAAGCTGACAGCTTTCAGCATTTTAAATCTAAACTTAAATCGTACTTAAATATTTGATTGTAATGATTTTGATTTATATTTTGTCTTTTCTTTTAAGGGAGTTTTTACACAGGGATAACCTCTTAACTTCCTTTTCTAGAAGTATTTTCTTTTTAGTTTTATTTGTATATAATAGTTATCATCTGCTTCTGGAATAAATAAAGTATGTATGTATGTATGTATGTATGTATGTATGTATCATCTTTTGTTTAGGGTATTTAAAAGTCTGCAACCAGCCTCTTCGAGAGAAATAGCTAAAATCTACCAGTTTTAAGGACTGAAAATTAACCATTCGACTAGTCTCAGGAATTCTTTCTGCCAATTCCTTCCTAGAATTACGGTCGTTTCGCCTACGGGTCGTTTCGCCTACGGTCTGTTCGCCTACGGTTAGAGTCGATTCGCCTACGTCTCATATGTCAGTTCGCCTACGTGTTAAAACATGTGTTACAACAGTTGATTCATCTACTTTATGTGCGATCGCACTCGGATCCTAGTCGGTCGATTCAATTCCTAGAGCGTGACTCATAAAGTCAAGCCTATCGAAGTTAAATAATTGTAAATAAGGAGCGTTCGTTTAGCTGAAAATTTCCGTTTTTTTTTTTCCCACCTTTTTGTGTAGGTTGTTACTTTAATCTAAACCTTGGTTATTTGAACCAAGTCCAAACGTGAACACGAACGTTTATTTATCTTACTTAGTCCGAAGTATATGAATATGATTACCGATTTAACAAGCCGCAACATCGAAATAAAAAGTTACATCAACCTGTGTAGTGTGAACAAGCTAATTTTGTGGTAAGTACTATGTATGCTAATGAAAACTCTCACCTCCCTTTGTATGAGCGCCGCTCAAGTCACAAGTCTACACAAAGGACGCTTTAAGTTTTTATATTATTTGTCTGTTAGATGAAAGTACGCAAACGGAGTAACTCAGAATACCCGGACACATTACATACATAAACTAGTTTATAGAGATAAAAGATTCAACGAGTCGCCCGCCAAATCGACGCAGAAATTGAACCGACTGTCAAGTCAAGCCGAAGCTAATTTCGTATATGTTAATGAAAAGTCTCACCTTCTTTAGTTTAGGCGCCGCTCACGCTTCACAAGTCTACACAAAGACCGTAAACAGTGGTTTGTTTACTGCTCTGCTCGCGCTTTACACGACCACACAAAGACCGTAAACGGTGGTTAATTTCATTTTAATACACATCTTAATGCTCAGTTTTACAATCGCACGTTTCTTAAATCATTTTAAGCAAAATATCTTTCACACATTCGTAGACGACCGGGTTCCGCCATAATAAAGTTTTTAAAAACGAACTTAGATGTTTTAGCGCGTTGTTTTTCTAGCCATCGAGGATAGAATGGAAGGAAAAATACAAGGAACAAAGACTTTTAATAATTCCGATTTAAAGCTTCAACATCTGACTCGTAGGCGAACTGACATATAAGACGTAATACCCCTTCCTACCTCCGTTGGGTTCGAGGAACCAGTCGCTAAAATCAGTCGAAGCAATCTGTCCTCTTGTGCGCGCTTTCACAACCCACAAACTATCAGAAATTGTTCACACTTATATCAGACTCGCATTAATTTTAGCAAACCGTTTTCTGATAAGGATCAATATAAAAATACTAACATATTTTTGGTTGATATTGTGTTAATATCACAAAACAAACAAGACCTTCCGTTGAAAGCTTAAGATAGACTGTCTCCAAGACAGCAACGGCAAACATAGAGGGGCCGTTCAAGAAATAAATGGTTTTGTTTATCGTCAAGAGGCTAAAAGTATATTGCTCGCATAGTGAGCTGTAGCGACCGAAATACTGTGAGTTGGGTAGGAGTGCAGGTGTATGTCGTAGAAACAGTCAGAGTCCGCGTCGAGAAGAGAAACTGTAAGGTGATTTGGTTTTCCTATATTCTGCGCTTCCTAAACAAATTGCAAGGTGAACACGACACTCGAAAGCTTAGAAATAAATAAGGATCTTTAATTTTAGATCGATCGTTTAAAATATGTTAAAAAACGAATGAAACCTAGAACGAACAAAAAAGGTAGAAGTGGTAACATAGTGGTTCCATTCACAGTGAGCGACTTTCGACAAGAAGAAACTGAAACTATCGACCAATAAGTTCATGTAGTACTTTTGAAATGCAGTCGAACGTGAATAATCAAAGTACTGACTCCAAAGTCGTGGACGGACAAAGAGATCTTTACAATAGAGTACACACCGTTTCTTAACGCAAAAGAAGCGTAGTCGCAGACTGTCCATGTGGATAAATTAAGCCGAAGTTTTGCATATTCTCTAAGAACAAACTGCTTAAATCCTCTCGAACTTTATCCATCTTGGCTCTTATTTTATTCTTGCGTCTTTTTCGTTTGGCGAACTCACTGAGCCTTCCACTATGTACTCGTTTCCTTCAACTCTTTAAACCCCGAGAGCGATCAACATCTAACTGCTCTTCACAGTCATACTGCTAAATCATTCATTAAGTTCGTGAGAATAAAGGGCATGATGGCCAACTTAAGTCGAACTAAAGATTGAAGTTTTGATTGTTAAACGAATTCCGTTCGTCACCGATGGAAATGCACAGAGAAGAATATGGGGAATAACAATGATGATGTCAACGTATGTAACAATTTATTGAAAAGTTCGACATCTGTAATTACCCCACCGTGACGCCATGTTTACTACGACATTTTAAAATGAGTATTCAATTCTTAAAGACAGAGTCAATGAATGGAACCCTTGTTCACAGACATACAAAACATTCATTTCAATTCAAAACACCCTTTGAAGCGATGCCATCCTTTGCAAAGTTTTATCCTTTTCCTCGAAAGAAACGTAAGGAAAAATGTCCGTGTTTTGTAGTTTTTTCTTTTGTGGATAATCAAAATGACAAAAATAGTTGATACCCAGAGGGAAAAATCATTCCTAAGCTTACATGAAACTTGAAGACATCATCATATTTTCCCTTTCCTTTGAAGGGAACATTTGAATGAATCGTGGATCGAAAGGTTTAAAATTTATTTATTTATGCAAGCAAGGAAGTGTCCTCTTACAACATGGAAACCGTACTTATTCACAGAATAAACTTATTCAAAAAGCAAAATAAAGGACCTCGCCGGGCGAAGCATTCTTTTTAACCGACACGGTGAAAGTAACCAGTACACTTATGAAAGTAATATTTCAATCGCAAAATCTTACAGCTGTTCTTCAGTAAAGAAGAAGTCTTAATCTTATGGTAGACTGCAAAGTGCAATCTATTCCTATCTCTCAGTGTGCGTGCCCACAGCCATACAAGAAAAGTTATTTTACAACGCGAAAAAAGAAACCTTAAGAGCATTCGAAACGAGAACATATCAGGAATTCACCCACTTGAAACTTCGTTCTTAAAAACCAAAGATAAACTTGACTTTCTTGTGAACTCACGAAAACACTCGATCAAAAATAATCAGAGAACAGCTTTTGACGGAAGGGTTTGTGGACCAACGATGACGCACCTAGCGGTTTCCAGATTTCAAGATGCTCACCGCAAAATAGTTACTCACAAGAACACATGTAAAATGCCGCGTGTTGCTACATTATTGAACTTTCCATTGCATATTCAAAGATCTTCAAATTATTGCTGTATTTACGTCATGACCATCAAAGGTCATGAACCTGCATCAAGGATATTTCTTTATTTAGAGGACAGACGTAGGTGTGGAATTTAGCACGAATAACATCAACACATAGTTATATTTCAAAATATTAAAGGATATTACATTCAATCTTATCTTATCAAAAGGAACACTTTGCTACCCTTCTACATTTGGAAGTCGTCTGTGTGTACTTAGTAAAATGGACTTAACAAAATAATTCGCCGGAATGGAAAGGTTCCAATATCTCTTAAACTAATATAACCGATTAAAAAGCCGGCCACTTTTCCTTGCAATATCAATTCATCATTTGGCAAGTAGATGATTGATAAAATGTCAGCCAGTGGGGGTTATCTCGGTATAACCCAAATTCCCTCTCTCATCAACAACGCAATATCTTCCTTTGCCAACATTACCAGCAGAGTCAACAACAGAGGCTAAACATCATTCACTCGCGATCTATCTTACGCCATTTTTAGGTCAAAAAAATATAGTGCGAATTTGTTTCCGATGAAATCTGGGTAGAGTTCATACCCAGACCTTTGTACCGAGTATTGCATCTAACATGTTAAATTCGTTTGGACACCACGATCAACATCTTTCAATAAAGTTCAATTCAACAATATGGAATGATGTTGGATCCTTTAGGCTAATCTTTCAAAGAGACAATATGCTACAGAAACAATATCATTTTATCTTCACCATTAAAAATGTATGGAATGAATGACACTGAAGGCAGTTCCAGTAAATTCCAAGGAATAACCTCACCTTTCGAAAGTTGCCTTTAAGTGTGTTAAAAATTCGATTATGGAAGCTGCCATTTTGAATACTGCTTAGCAACCAGACAGCTTTCCTTTGACATCACAACCTTTCATCCAAGCTAACTTTTACTTTCTCTCGGTAATCTCTTGAACAATAAAGAGCTCCACAAAAAGATGCTTTTGACTCCAAAAGTGAGAAAAAAAAGATTTCTGTGTGTTACTTTGTTTACCGCGATGATCAGAGAAGCAGTTGTTTGGGAGCCGCTCAAAAAGGTTATGCGAGTGCGGCCAGGTTACTGAGTCTTGAAATTACTGAGATTCGTGACTCTTTGAAGTCGCATAACGCAGCTAGTGTCTCATTTTCGTGTATAGGTAGAGAAATGGTTTCTGGAGAATAATTCTCCTTAATTTGAATTAAGTAATAAAATTAACCATACCTCGTAATTTTGAGGAAGAAAGTGACCACAGTCAAATTGTAAATTGACCAACTGATAAACTTGCTCTCGTTGAAGGCGGATGGCGCTTTCCTGACGTTATAGCACAGGTGGATTCCCCAGAACAAGAAGAGTATTTCAACTAACAAAGGCAAGAAAGAAATTCAACAAACTACTCAGCACTGGCGGGAAAAACGTATGCAAAATGCGGGAGGAGACAAATGATGGAGCATGAGATCCATTTTCTCTAGGATATTATCAAAACGCGATTGACAAAAAGCACTGATGGTGAACCTACAGGCCCAAACGTAGAAAGAAAGTTACTTCTTTGTAATTTTTGTTGTTGTCGTTGTATTTTTTTTTTGTTTTGTTTTTTTTTTAGTAGAGTGAATGAGGCCTAAGTTTAACTTACATATCAAAATGGCATGGTCCCACCAGTCAAAGGAGCACTCATGGAACTTAAGATCCCCTGGCATCTTCATTTCTACCACGTGACTCGGGCCGGCTAGTGACCAGGCCAGCAGATAAACCACGTACAACGCCAGAATGGGAGCGAGGCGCTGGAGAAGATGGCGATCAGTAAGCTTTATCTTCTGTGCAGATTTAACACGAAATATCACGGAAATTCTGCAAAAGAAAAAAATAGCAGAAAAGTTACGATCTTCGCTATGCATCATACGGTAACTTCGACAAACTATATGGCTGAGATGCGATCGCTCTGATTGGTAAATTAAGTGCGCTATAGCGAAATTTGACCCACACTCGCATAAATCTTTACGGGCGGGCCAAGCACCATTTTGAGTTCACCCATAAATTAGTGGCACATATCGAGCGCTTCATCGTTGTGTTCATAAACTCCCAAAAATCTTCAGATAATGCAAGCGCTATTAGGAAATAGGTGGAAAGTGTCTGAGGAAACCTGGAATAATTCACATAGTAATTAACAAGGCAAAAGTCCTTTTGATCTCTTCAGTTAAATGATCATTTTTGTGCAAGATAAGGATAGAGAAGTCAAGTTTCTAGCCTTGGTAGGTTACCATACTCTCTTCGTTATAGTGTCACGCTCCGCGCACTCCGCTGTAAAATGTCTAAATTTTTTATAAGAGCTGTTTGCTTTCGAAACGTATTCAGTTAACTATTGTTCTGATTTCTATAAAATCTCAACTAAGGGATTTGAAACAGTGGTGTTGCGTCGGTGGGAGGCATTACACGATAATTTGCCTTTACAAACTGAGGTGATAATGTTAACTGGTCGCCGTAAAGGGTTTTATAGCTGACGGACGTTTCGAGACTTTCTCCTTCGTCAGAGCGTATAGAGGAATTGTGGGTGCTTTATGGAAAAATTAAGCTACACCATTATATTAGTGAGAACAGCGTAACGTGAAAAACAAAAGTATAAATTTTTTGAATGAAAAGCGTTCGTTGATACCGTGGAAAGAAAAAGTGCCATTTGAAAGATAAATTCCTCAAATGGCTCAGACAAAGGGACAACACTCGAAACGTCAGCTTTAGAAATTCTTTACGGTTGCCAAATAACATTATCAACTCTGCTTAAAAATCCAAATCACCATTTCAAACTTAGTATAGTTGATCAATTACTGGGAAAACCGGCTAAAACAATGACGCTGTACTTTATGATGGGAACTCTTCGACCGCTCACGATCTTTGTTTTTGTTTTGTAACTAATGGAACATCTGTATGATTTCCAGACTCAGTTATCTGCACAATCATCACAAGAGAAATTTCAGATCGCCCTTAACCCTCTAATTCGTGAGAGACTGGTTTCTAATTTATCCTCACATTATTATCCTTGAATCAATTGTAAAGGTCATGAGAATAAGAGAAATGGTCACAGATCTACGAAGTACCGGATTGTCAAACAAATTTTCCTAGTAATTATCAAAGTAACTGTAGAGTGAACATCGGTGGACAATATGAATATTATTGTCAGGTTTTATGGGGTAACAACTCCTTTGGCTGAACCCCTGGAAATTGTTTAAAAACAATATGAAACTCACCTCCATGTTTTAAGGAGCAATGAGGTGAAACCAAGTCCAAATCCAATGTGGCGAAACCAAAGACGAACGATACATAAAGTATTCTGCGCTTCAGGATACAGCACAAGAATCTGACGCGACGGAAACAGAGACACAGTTATAGCCGGAGATTTCAATAACTTTTCCATGGGCGGCGGTACCGAAAAGACGAAACCCAAACACGAGAGCCTGCGCGCTGGCTAAACAGACAGCGGTAAGAGATCTTATGACAGGCGCTAAGCCGCCTATAACTGGCTTTACTGATACTTCTGTGGAGCCATTGGAACTTATCATGATTACTACTCTAAATAATCACTTTTTCTTATGTTGCTGTTCTTTCTGTTTTGCGTAGAACACATTGTGTGAAATTCGACTGTTCAGTAGCACAACTGTCATTCTTCATGACGGCCTGTTTTCAACATTTTAAGGAGAATACACATTTAAGTCTCGTTTTAGTATTTCAGTTAATAGCCCTTTCTTTTCAGGCCAATTATACATTTCATTCGCGTTGAATGTGTTCAAGGGATACGAAATCTAGGTTTTGTTTGATCTGGGCCATTTTTCCTTGACCTGAGTCAACTATATTTCGTGTACGCAGTGATTAAAGCACAGCCTGTTATGCTGTTATGTCTTAAAAGACTCATATTGCAGCTCAACTAACCTCGCTATACGACAACATACATCCTGCTAATATAATGACAAGAAAATGGGGACTAGCCGTCTTCACAACCTGCAAGAAGAAGGCACATGGACCGAGTTAATTTGTTTTTGACTAACTGCGCTTTCCGACTTAGTATAGAAATTTGCCAGCAATACATCACTGCGAGCTAACGGTAAATTCGTCACAACATTTCTAGCGAGATAATGATTTAAGCATTTTCAGCTGACCAGGTTAAAGAAAAAATTACGTTGTGGAACCCCACCAAACTCACCCGCCCTACTGGATCCCTCCAACTCCGAATTTTCTAACCCTTAGTGGAAAACGATGCTCTATCCAAGACGACAGTGGTAAATTCTACACCCAGCAGAGAAATTTTCTCTTTGGAGTGGTCCATAACTACAGCTTTGTAGGAAAGCACTGACGGGAGAAGGGTGGGGAATTTCTAACTCACTACTAATCAGGAAACTCACCTTCAATTCACGGAAGTACAAAATAAACGCACTTATCCCAATGGCGGCCAGGATAGTGACTACAGTCAAACCCATCAACGCTCTCCTTAGCGGCCAGTTCAATGTTACAATGCACGGGGAATCATCCACGCATGCATCACAGCCAGGCTGGCACTTGATGCATTGAAAGGAGTCTGGGTTCGAGTAATACCTGTGACTTGGCTCAACGGCTGCGGCCTCGATTTCAGATCCGTTGAAATATTTCGCGTGAGAGGTAACGTTCGGGAAATAGTACCCAGGCCTACACACGCATTTGTAGGAACCGGCTCTGAAACCGAGTCCAGTTACAGGCAGGCACTTTTTTAGGTAAAAACGGAAAAGAAAGGGATCGATCAATATCAAACTAAAACTAATACCTCATCGAATCCAAGCTATAAAAAGTTTTAAACCTGTTTTGTTAATTAAGCACGATTTAAGATTGTTCCTTCGTGAAAGATGCATAAACTTGACCTCAAATTTGGCTCATTGAAAATAGAATTTACTGATTACATGAACCCCATGCAAAATATAGTCCCTGCTTGCTGCTTTTCATTCAGCAAAACCTTGTTGAACTAAAAGTTTTTGATGTGAATGTGGTACATGATGTGAACAGGGCAAGTGCCAAACGGTACTATGACCGATTTTCATCGGACGAGGGGAGCAAGGCTGCTTGTAACACAAGTTCGCGCATGAAAACTGGCGAAAACAACTTGAAACAATGTAAAATTTACGGCAGTTTTATTCTCCAAATTCTCGTCTCTTCTGATCCTGACGAAATACTATGGTCTAAGATTGCAAAACTTCCGACTGTTGCAAGACGGTAGCTGCAAAATTTTGCAAGGAAACGGAAGTAACGGGATGCAGCTTTCGCACGACAAGCTAAGTGTCGTGATTTATTGCTTGTTAGCTGGTGTGCAATGATAGCTGTCATTTTACTTTTTCATGGTCACTTTTAATTGCGCATCATGTTGCAAAAGTGTTAATGACTAGTTCATGACATGTGCAGTTGCCTCACCTGAGTGGTTTCATTTTTACATCGATGAGTACCAGCGAAAATTTCGAACTGAAACTTGCTCTCAGACCCCTTGTCACACTGATTTATGTCGACATTCGTAAGAGCGATATCAATTGTAGTCATGCCCCTGGAAGAGTCACAGAACAGGTAAAAATAGTAAGAATATCAACCAATGATTGTGTCTGGAATATTTATATTACACAAAGTACTCTCTTTCCCCATTCAAAGTGGTACAATCACAGGAAACAAAGTGAAACCAGTGTACTGGGAGAGGGGCTAAAAGCAAGTGCATCCAGGATATAAGTGGTATTCACGCCCAGAATATTGCGGCTTTAGTGGTTATGTGCCGACAATTTTCTTGTTGAAAGTAGTTGTCTCTCTAGCCTCAGTCAATTACCCTTAAGAGTATTTAAGATATGATTCATGATTCTTCGTTAGAGCTGCAAAGAATTAGCTTGTGCACAAGCTCCGAGTAGTGCATCAAGACAACTTAGCTTAGCTTAGCTTGTGCACATGCATCCGAGTAGTGCATCAAGACAACGTTCTTCTCTTTGACTGATAAGTTGTCGAATCCTTTATCACATGTTTGTTTGCGATATTGTACTGATATAATATTGTGACTAGAAGTTTGGGCTGCCTCAGTCGAAAGGAAGTAAGGGAACAGGTACGAATGCAAACGTTTCCTTGAGATTCAGAGGAAAGTCAGTGTTTGAATTGATTTCCCGCAGTGAAGTTTATTTGACTTTTCTACCTTTTTTGTAGAGCCAGAGCTAAAAAATAAAAATTCTATTTATCAATTAAACCATTGATTTTTCTTTTGAATTCAAATAAACATTGACTGTAAAAGAAAAATTGTACAATAAAATAAAACTGAAATGAAAAAAACGCAATTCAGGTAAATTTGACAGAATATCTTTATATCTATATATCTATATTACCACCTAAAGAGGAGATATCTAGTGTAAACTTACATGAAGGAGATCGATCCATTACTGTCCCAGTTGCCAAGTATAGGAGAAGTGTACGTTATTAACCAGGCTCTCGCTGTGGTGCACTCGAAGTAAGGACGGCTCCATAGTCCATCGATAGACTCCACAAACTTGTGCGTGAGTTTTAGCCGTTTCGGTGCGGAAGAAATATCATTTTGTTCATAGAAGTATGTGGTTCGCTCCGGAAAAGGCCTTCCGCGTGATTTAGACTTCATTAGCCTCACAAATGCTTCGTGAAGATAACTCCAGCCGGCAGACAGATCTGTGACTTTAATGAAAGTATCGTTTGCGTTTCTGTAGGCGTACGGTGCATAAAACGAGTTGTTTATAAAGCTGTTATTGTCAAAAATGATCGCTGAACCTACAATAAGCGGGTCATTTTCAAGGTTGTTCCTTACAATCGCGTGAAGAACTTCCCTGTGCGTCTTCAGCACTGGTTTCCCGGAAATATTCAATGTTTTAGCGGAGCCCGTTGGTAACAGATCGGAGATTAAATTTGCTGTGCGAATGGCGAGGTTGGCTTGAGTGGTGTAGACGCTATTCTCGTATTTAAAATACAAAAGCTTCAAGCTTCTCTCGGCCAGCATTGTTGTGCAGTCGACAGTGCCGTTGTGCACCTCTTCGATGGCTTTCAGTGCCTGTCGCGCTGTCATGTTAAAGGCTCCTGAACGATCATCTTTCACTGGCGGACGGTACGGGTTGTGGATAGATGGATCGTCTTTGTAAAGCAACTTATCTGCTGCGTTGCTATCGCAAATACAAGAAATTACAGCGAACGTGCAGAGCGAAACCAGTACATTTACCATCCTTGCGGTTCCACTGACTGTCTGGCGTCGCAAAACTGTTTGTTCTCGTCTTTCAAGCCACTTTTGATCTAAATGCAAATCGATGTTGTGATTCGAGGTGCTAATGGAATTTACACAGACCAAAACGAAACCTTTTCAACGCGAGCGACGAAGTAGAATGGATCCAGTGCAAACAGACACATCGAATGTACATGCACGTTGACAGATTACCCAAGGATAGTCGTGTAGTTAATTACAAATCTTAATTGTCATCAAATCAAATCACAATCGAAGCACATGAAACATGTCACTGTAACCCAGGACAGTTTCGTAGTTTGTTTAGGTCGTAACCAATAAACTTAAGTCAACAAACGCAAGTAGTATTTCGAAAGTAGATGACTGCTATTAATAACAAAGTAAGCGACAAGAACGGTTGTGTCATACCTTCTTCACGTCGGGCTTTCTGACCCAGATATTTTTTTCCGTCAAAAGATAACTCAAGATTGATACGCGCTAGTTCTGCACCTTTGCAGGATTTTGTTTGACAGAGAGAATAGCGCTATTGTGACGGGGAAGTTAATAAGTAGATTGAAATCAAACAGACAAAATTAAAAAACAGAAAATTGACGCTGGTGGGTGTTATAAATGTTTGGCTAGGATTATGTCGGTCCTCTCTGTTAAATCAAGAACTGAATGTAATCGTCTCTAGCACGGAATCAATAAGACGCACAGTTTGAACTGTCCCTAGCAATGTAAAGCAAGTTGATGAAAATTACATTTCTGTTCAAGCAATTGAACGAGTGAACTTAATTAATGGGGCACTTTTCTATAAGCGCAAATAGAGGATAAATATCACCATGACATGTCATCTTGTTGATCGAAATGTTCAATACAGATCTCCGTAAAGTTAGACGTTTCAACGTCGAGCGCGCGTCAAACCTTTACGTTAGTGGAAGGGGAAGACCAAACAGCATAGAAGAAAAATTAGACTAATAATAATTTGTAAAGGTATCAAAAGCGAAGAGAGCGCTGTTAACCCTTTGACCCCCTACGAGTGACCAGCATCTGACTTCTCCTTTCAATATCTCCTTCGAATCACACATTGAGGTTGCGAGAATGAAGGAAATGATCACCAACGAAAGAAGCTCTTGATTGTGACACAAATTCTCCTTGTCAACACCTCAGGAAATTTATAGAGAACAGTATCGAGAATATGCATACTAATGTTGGGGCCTAAAGGGTTAAAATCCTTGTATTTCCCCTACATCTGTAAGTGAGGTAGACAACTAGCAATCTGGTTTGTTTCGAGTCGACATGGAGCGAGAGCTCTGAGCACGAGAAGACTGGGCTAGACTGGTGTGATTATATCATCCAACTTCCAGGCTACCATTTCAAACGTCAAGACCAAAAAAAAAAAAAAAAAAAAGACCACAAGTAGCCTATCCTCCGCCTATTGCAGTAGCCTGTATCCACTATTATTTTTCGAGCATGACGTGAAGTCAAATAGTTAGAAGAGTTAAGGAGCACACGACTAAGATTTGCCTCAGGAATTGTGGACGGGGGAGTCCGTGCCTTTCCCCGCCGCCACTTTTGGGGTAAAAGGAAAGGAGGAGATAGATGCGCTAGCACCGAGGCACGAGTAATTTATACAACGATACAAATGTAAAAAAATAAAAAATAGGGGACGGCTTGAAGATTGCTTAAAAATGACAAAAAACTTGTCATCGAAAAGTGTTCCAAAATGCACCAAACGGTATAGGAATGTTTATTAAAAATTTCAAAATTAGCCGGGTGGGAAGGTTCCCCGGACCTCCCTCCGGCCTCCGGTTCACTATAATACTCCACAATCATTACTACCGTCCCCCCCCCCCCCCCTGAAATGATCCCATTGATCCCTAAAATGCGCAAACACAGTCGTGTCCACACGAAGTGCCTTAACAGAACGATTAAAGATATTTCAAAAACATTTATTTCGAGCTTGATGCAAAGCCATAATTTATTTTCGTACCTGTAATTTGTCATTGCTACCGCGGATTTTATCAAAAGAGCGAGCGGGGACTAGGGAAAAAGCAATGCCGCGTGGTTTTGGAAGAAGATTGACGCAACTCTGAGATTGGTTGAAATCTTTGTCACGTGCTATCTTTGAGCGTGAGCAGTAAGACACTATAATCAGGCATACTTGATGCGAATAAGAGGCCTCCATAAGGTCTGGTGACCAGTCCGTCCAGCCATAAAGTTTCACCAGGCGTGAAATTCGACCCGCGTAAAGATCTCCGGAACGCAGGTAAGGGAAATTCCGCAACAATTTCTTCGCTTTTGGTGCAAACTATATAAAGAAAGTTCATGTCCACAAGAAGGCTATAAACATGCCCATAGGCTACAAGCCAATTAGCAGGCGATGCCGTGAAGATTCTGCAGGTTGAAATGAAAGAAAATGGAGCATTTCTTTACTTGGCTGTAAGAAAAATAACGTCTGGAGAAACGGAGTTTTGACTACTAAGGGTCCTCAGATTCATGACTATCTTGACTTAACTCAATGAGAAACTAATCCTCTAACAACTGTGGGGTTATCTTGCAACTGAAATTTCTGTTAGTCCAACAATACGTTTCACAAATGAATAAAGGGGTAGGTTTCTAAAGAAACTGTGGTGCTGCGTCGGTGGGAGAGTATAGCAGGTAATTTAGTGTTAACAACTGGTTTGAAAACGTAAATTAGCCACCGTAAAGAATAAAAAAGCTAACGTTTCGAGCGTTAGCCCTTCGTCAGAGGACCAGGCACTTCGCTCTGACGAAAGGGCTAACGCTCGAAACGTCAGCTTTTTTATTCTTTACGGTGGCTAATTTACGTTTTCAACCCAGTTGTTAATACGTTTCACAATTTTACTCAATGCAACAGTGACAACAGTACCAATGTATCTAGTGTTCCCATACATAGTCACATGATAGTATCATACCATTATATGGAGGGAAGCACCAAAGAAAACGAAACAAAATCACAGATATTTCAAATACAAGGCGAAGATTTCTTTGCAGAGTTTTTAACCGTAGTACCGCCCAAGTTGCGCGTGTGATTCCCACGTGCAACACGCACAATGCGTGGAAAAGCAGTAAAGATAACAGCCCCTAATTTAAGACAAGTTACACTATTTGTCTGCAGTATCGAGTGAATACGTAGCGAAATTGAAATTCGCTGACTTACCTTGTCATTTGCAAAGTTTTAAAATCCCACAGCAGAATCGCTGTCTCTGAAGCACACACAATTTTATGTCCATCAAACTGAAGTCGAGGCTGTAGGTTGACAGTGGACTCGGTGTCAGGACTTAATGTTGCCAGGCACTTGTAGCATTCACGATCGGGAGACCAGATCTTAACAAAACGAAAGCAAAGAATGCTGCATCGCTAATTAGAACATAGCGCACTTGTTCTATCTAGGTCCTACTGGACCTTCATGGTCCATATCTCAATCCAAGCACAGCTGTAAGTACATGTAGATATCAAGATGACTTGTTCAGTAGCATTTTTCAACAAAGTTTCCTTTCCAGCTTAACACTATTGCGATGGTCACGATGGCCATGAAATTAAAACATACCTTGATGTTTCGTTTGTCCATACTGAGCACTACGTACTGACCCTTTCTGTGAGTGTGCGTGTCTACTTCACTTCTTTTGAGGATCACCTTTGTGTAAAAAACAAAAAACAGCAATCACATACAGGTGCTGTGATTCGTTTGGATCTGAGGTCGCCAGTCGAAAGTAGGAAAGAAATACACTTGTAAATGATATTGCTATTTGTAAGTTTGCCATTTTAATTTTTCATGTTGCCCTCATTTAAGTTGCCAAGTTCAAGTCAGAGATTGCAGATCAATAGAAGAAAAAAAAGAAATCTTTAAGTCATATTGCCACATGAAGCTTGAGTTTGCAAAGCTAATTGGCCAGTGCATTGTTACTGACAGATCTCACCTTTTCTTTGCATATGGCGACGTGCTATCTCTACTCAACCTTGGATAAGATACAAGTCTATCACTGACAACCCTTCTTTCCCTCACAGATCTTTCAAGTTTCCCTTAAACTTTTCTAGCACTTATCTAAACTACTAGTTTGAGAGAAGCACAATGGAAGAAAATTGTCTCACTCACAATTACACTACACAATGAACTGGCCAGAGCTTGAACCTGATCCATTTTAGAGACCCCCCCCCCTCCTCCTACACTCCCATTACACTCTTATGTTTTACAGGGGGAGTAGGTGTGATTAAATCCCATGATTGTATTTAATTCATCCTCTTCCATGTTTGAAAAAAAAAAATATTTTATATAGAGACTGAAATTTTGTAGATACCTTTACCACCCAGTCTGAGTGACCATATCTGGTCTGCACGCATTGTCCAGATGACATTTTCCAAATCCGAATGGTAGAGTCAGCTGAACCACTAACAACAGTGTCCAGTTCATCACTGTAATCAACTGAGAACACTGTGGTAAACAGAGATTAATATTTGTCAAGAACAATTTACCTAAATCCCTGCAGGAAACAGGGAGGGTGGGGTGAGGGAGAGACTGCAAGTAGTGGTTGCATGTATGCCCTGGTTGAAGTCAACACATTAAGCCATGAAACAGCATCCTGTTGAGAAGCAATTGCTCTGAGCCTGACTACAAAAAAATTATCTGCCATGATCTCAATTGCATTTAATTAGGATAAATACCCACTGGATGTGATATGATTTTTTTTCATAATTAATGGTTATAAACATACTATTTGAAATCAGATTCCTTTGTGGGTCAACAAGCCCACTAAAATACAAAAATTGGCTTTGTTGACCCTAACTCCCAGAAGTAATTAACATATTGATATAACTTCTCCATATGATAACCATAAGCGATCCAGCAGACTAGAGATGAGATTACTCAAAGTTATCAGGTAGAAGTTGTTATCTTGATCTAACACCAAATTCTTGCAACTTATTCACAAGAAAATGTGTAGCAGCTAGAGAGGAGAATTGACAATCAGATACTGGGAGTCAAAGGGTTAATTGCTTTGTGAACTAGTATTGCCAAAGGTTGGCTAGGTTCAATCCCTGTTGAGTTCCTGTGAGGATCAAGATCTCAACAGTAATCCTCCTTACAGTTTGCTATACAATTATTATGATGTTAGTTTAGAGAATTTGGTATTTGATCAACTGATAATCCCACCATTATATTCTCACTAAATTCTTTTATTTCTCATCACTAGTCTGCTTGACATAGTATTGATATTGTGAGGAGAGATTCTGTCTTGGTCACTCATGGGAGTTAAAGAGTTAAACCTCTAAGAGTGACTATCATCTCATTTCTCCTTACAATATCACCCCTGAATCAGACAATAAGCTCCCAGGAAATGATCACCAATTAAAGACACTCTTGACAGTTAAACAAATTCTCCCTGTCAACACCTTGGGAAATGTACAAAGAACTGTATGGAGAATATGCATACTGATATTAGGGTGTAAAGGGTTTAAATGTACCAACTGAATACTGAAGGAACCCAATCCTCCACAATAAATTAAATTATTACAATCACCAATCATATGACACATACCAGACAGCATACACTTTTAGTACAAAACACTAAGGAAAAATCCCTGTATAAGGGTCATTAATGCAATGGCATGTACAGGGTTGGAAAAGTCATATAGCAAGATGCAAGGTTAAAGAAGAAAGGATTGCCAGGTGAGAAGATACCTAATGACTGACAGAGGTAGGGCTGGAGAGGAAATATTTGGCCATCATCTGTGATTCATGTCAGGAGCCAAATGTTTTCCCATCTGACTCTCTCACTCTGTCAATAAGTGGAATCTGATAGTATTTTCTTCCTGTTAATGTTTTTTATTTTACCTGCTGCTGTGTGTCCCCTAAAACATTGTAATCTCTCTCCTGTTTCCCAGTCCCACATGCCAACAGTATTGTCAAATGAGGCTGTGATGACCTTATCATCATCAAAGCGAACATCTGCACAAGTATGAGCCTTCAAAACATATTTACATTGTCCTGTCTTCAAGTCCCACAACCTGATTGATCTATCATCTGATCCTGGAGAGCAGAAAAGGTAAGGTAAAGTCTATACCTGAGCAAAGGCTTAAGGCACATAGCCAATCCAGTTGGAACTTATCCAGGAAGGATGGGGAAGACAGAAAGATCAAAGGTGACTCTGCTCAGAGGGTAGTGTGTATGGGAGACAGGATATGGCTGGGCAGGGAGAGGGTGGTGGGTATAGAAGGGCATGGAGAGGGGTAGTTACAGGATATGGGATATGACACAGGATAGGAAGACTGGAAACTTTTTTAGGGCAGGAAGGAAGATGCAAGTCCAAAAATGAGAGCCGTTTTTTTCGATAGGAAATTTAAAGGGTGAGAAACAGAAGGGCAGGGTATAGGAAATGGAAAAATTTCTCAGCCTGTCACTTTTGCTTACTCGTCATATCCCACTTTTCCAATGTATGAATCTTAAGGGGGCAAAGGGGGCTTTTTTTCTAAAGAAAATGTGGTGCTGTGTCTTGGTGAGGGAGGGGGAGGGGGGAAGGTGTAACAAGATAATTTGGTTTTATCTGCTGAGTTGATAATGTAAATTGGCCACCATAAAGAGTTTCTAAACTTGACATTTCTAGCGTTAGCCCTTTTTCAGAACGAATGGCGAAGGCATAACGCTTGAGACGTCAGCTCAAGAAACTCTTTACGGTGGCTAATTTACATTATCAACTCCGTATGAACCATTCCCAGCTTCGCTCAGCGAGCAAAACTCTCTCACCAGTAGCAAGATAATTTCCACGATAATAAAGTGCAAACACTCTAGCTGTGTGACCATAAAGCTGTTTCTTTTCCACCGCACCCTCGTCTTTTAACTTTTTCATATCCTGTACATGTGAAATATATATCTGTTTCCACGTAGTGGTAGAGGTCGAGTTTCTTTCAGAATCCACGTTATCTTCTTTGACTTCCATACCAAGCTGCCTACAAGCGTTTTGCCAAACATCATCACAGCTTAAAATTACTTTGTTCCATTTCTTACTCACAAGACAGCATTTGCACAAGGACACAGGATCCAGCCATTTCAAGACATGAAAACTCAACTCCAGAGGTAAACATTTCAAGTAATCTCGTTTCACGAGTGTTTCGAGTTTCGTGGACAAAAACCGTAGCTGTTCGGGTCCACAAGTATCTATGATACCTTCAATCGCGGAATTCTTTTGGTCATTTGACAAAGTGCTAAAAGTATCGCAAAAAGTTTTCAACCAAAGAGAAAACCCACTGTCCTCGAAACATTCTGTCATAACTGTTTTGATTCAAAGCTATGCCCAGTTTTCCTCGAACAGTGGATAGAATAACAAGTAAGGGACAATTCACTGGGTTTTACATAACATGAAAACAAAACCTATGGCCCGCTTAATGTTAATCTGGTTGAGAGATTTAAATTCTTTGACAGATTTTAGTAAAGGGGTGCCCTGCATCGTAAATTAAGAAATAACGAATATTACGAAGGAACAAATTTCTTATTTATTCATTTTTCTCATAAGTAATGAAATCAGAAATTGTCAACCCCAGTATAAGCATATGAGCAGTTTAGTATCAGTGATAAGCCAGTCATCATGTTTATGAAGCTTCAACTGGTAATTTTAAATTGAAAATTCACAGAACTTGTGTTATTAAATGTTACAATGTCTTAGTGACTTTCAATGAGAATCCAGAGATATCCTGCAGAATGAGGGATAATCCACAGGATAAAGGTCATCATTTAGTCCTTTTACAATCCTTGGGATTCCTGTGGACATTAGTCTGAATCAAATTACCAGCTATGTTTCAAATTACATATCCGCAATTTTCATTCATTATCACCTTGTAGATGTTTATTGCTTAGTCAAAGAATTGTTTATGAATGAGTGCCCACCATTTTGACCCTTACATATTTTCCTGAGGTATCCCTTGCAATTGACAAGGAGAATTTGTTTAACAGTCAAGAGCTTCTTTAGCTGGTGATCATATCCTTGATTCTCATGACCTTAAGGGTTTAATCCAAGGGTGATATTGTTTGGAGAAATTGGATGTCAGTCCCTCCTAGGAGTAAAAAGGTTAAAAAAATTAATTTACATTAAAACTTTTTTGGCCCTCAGAGTTAAAAATCCTTACTTTAAGCTTGCCCTTGTATATTACTTCAAGGTCTTGGTTAAGAAACCACATGGTGTCAGGTTCTCAAGCTGGTGTGTCATGTGTCTCCAATAAGTGTGTGAGTGGATCAGTGCTTTGGGTATGAACCAACTCAAACTTGAGTACAAATTGACTGCATGTGGCAACGAAACAACCATGGGTACAAAACAACCTGATACCTGGTGAGCAGCCTTAAAATTTATTGCATGAATTCACAAGACAATTCCCAGCTGAATCTTCAGAATCTTCATATTCATTCAATCCATAAACACTCTAACAGACAACAAACAAAAGACTTTGGATCACAGGCATCCCTGTGAACATTTTTGTGTCACTGACATCTATAACAGCATTCCTCGATTTCTTTCAGTGCAGAGAAGGCTGTAAGTTGTAGATGGGCATGTCACACAGAAGATCTGCAAAGTAAATGGCTTTTGACAATGTTTCAATATAAAAAATGTGGTCTCAACCTCGAAAGGCAAAAAAAAGAAAATGACCAATTAAACAAGAAACTAATAGAAAGGGACCTTCCTTAACACCACTAGCCCTTAAAAAAATTTAAAAACTATCTTACAAAACATAAATTGACCAAAGAATTACATCAAAACATGGAAGTTTTGGCCATATGATATGAGCTATTATGAAGCTTACATAAGTCACCTCACAGGCTTGGTTACTAAAGTTTCTAAAAAGATTTCTCTGACAGTTTTTTTTTTTTGTCACTAATCGTGGATGTGTTGAAGCTTAATTTCTATTGTAAACAAAATCCACCCATTAATAGCAGAGAGTTCTCAAGCAATTAAATTTTTAACTGGACTGGTGCAATGATCAAATCAAAGCTTCAACATTCTGCTGGAAGTCTGGAAAGACTTGACAGTTCTGGTTTAAATTCCCCACCCCCCAGGTACAGACAACAATCAAATGCCCATGGGTTTCAGGGAGGGAGGAGGAGAGATGTTGAAGGTTTGAATTAATTGCCTCATAAAACTGTACTGAATCGTTCAAGTATAATTTAGCTGCTGCATGATGCAGCAGCTGCTCTTTTCCATGAGAAAGATTACCCACACTTTCAAACATATCTCACAGGATATTGCATGTTGAAGAATAGATATCTTCAGTTCTGAGATTTTCTCGATGAATAATCATTGCATGATCATGATACTTGTTGGCTTGATCCAGGTCACTAAGGTCCCTGCAACAAGGGAATGCTGTGATCCAAGCTTTCTCAGACTAATATACACAATCCTGATAAACCATCATGATATTCTATTTCTAGAATTTCAGCCTGAACACGAAGAGATAAGGCTACTGCCTTAATGTGTACATCACAAAACATTTTATAGATATCATTTCCTGCAACCTCAGAAATGTTTTCCTTTAAATATTCAAATCTTCCAATTTTTCTCATCAATGTGCTAGCATGAAGTTCAATATGTCTGCCTTTCTCACATGAATAAAATTTTTTCAAGCCAATTAGCTCATTTTTATCTTTCAGAAACTTGAACATGGCCTCAACCGTCGCATTTAAGGCTAATAATTCACCTTCTTCAGACTTTGCTTTTATCAACCTGCAGATAGCATCGTGTGTAACCTGATGTACTCTAATGCAGACACCACTCTCCTCTTCGTCAAATAGCAACAGAGGGCATCTTCGAATCTTCATCCTAATGTTTTCTTCATCTTGCAAATCTATTTCTACATTGCAAATGTAATTTACTGCTATCTCAAGATTTAATGGCTGTGCTGCACACAAGGACAACAAAGTAACAGTGTGCTTGAGTACAACATTGGTGGATTCCATTGCCTCTTGAACAGCTATCTCTAATACCTCAGTCATTGATTTTGGGTAAGTTTGGTTAGTTTCAATGAAAATGTTTGCAGTCGCCCCTCTTCGGCCTTCCTCAAGTCTTTTTAGGTAATCACTCCATCCAAAATTCGCTCTATTCTGCTGAGCCTCTCTGACATAGGTTGCGGCAATTGCTAAGGCAAGCGGCTGGTAGTCTAATACTTGTGCAAGCTTCTTTGTGTCATAATCTGAGATACCAGAAAGCTTTTCAAGTAAGGTCATGGCATCATGGGGCTCCATACCTTTGCTAAAAGATAAATGACTAGTAAAAGAGTTCATTGGCGGAACAGACATGGTGTCTTGTGTTGTGATCAACAACTGACCCCTTGCCCACTGTTCATCTCCAGACTCTGGCAAATACGCATGAATCTTAGAAATGCTTTTGACGTTGTCAACAACTAGGAGCCAAGAGCTGTAAAGCTGGATTTTTGTGCCAATTAAGGACTTCATATGAGCAATCTTCTCATCTGAGTTTAAATCTGGAGAGTTAAGTGTGTTAGTAGTGGCATATTCTGGGCACTTAAGCTTTCGCGCCAAGGAGATATACGATTCTAGAAGAGTGCTTGGGCTTTCAGCATTTGCCGTCATCACAAAAACTGTAGAATTTGGAATTGAATTTACTACATCAAAGTATCTCTTCCCCACGAGACCAGCTAACTGAGATTTGCCACTTCCTGGGTTGCCAGAGATGTACAAGTAACTCAATCTGTTCTCATTGGCCTCTTTGAGCTCTTCCAACTGTTTTGAAATTCCAGCCACCTCAAATTCACGATTTGCAACTTCGTGTGAAGGTTTAGGCGGAAGGACGCAGAAGGACGAAATTTCTTTGTTTAACTGAGCTTCAAGTACCTCAACCTTTTTTAACACATTACTCAGTTCCTCAGTGGGGAAACTTGTCTGATGGTAAACCACTTGAATTTGGTGTGTGGAGAGGCCAAGAGCTTGGAAGGCTACTTCAACTTTATTGATAGCATTTTGAAACTCTGCATCTGTGAGGTGGCCGTGTGGCATGTGTGCAAAATCTTCATTACGGAACTTTCTGAGATCATCCACTTTTGATTTTATAGTTGGATTGAGACCATTCCCAATACAATCGGAGAAAAGAATGGCATAAAAAAGCATGGTACAATCCCATTCAGCACTGTTTCCATTGACCATGGTGTCCAGAAGATGGGCTTTTTCCCTTTGCTTGCGTGGAGATTCACTGTTCTTGAAGTCCTGACCATTTTTTGGCTTGTCTTTCCATTCACCTAATGTTGCCTTGTGACGACTATTCCATTCCTGTTTGAAGATTGTTCGCAGACCCTCGGTAATTATATCAGTGGTGAGATAGCAAATCCGGTAATAATTCAGTTCTTCGTTGGTGTACTCTTTTGTAGTGGCCATATTTAGCTTTAATGAGCTGTTACCTACAGGAATGTAAGAATTAATAGACTTGATTGTGTCCTATTGCTGTAAGGAAGTGAAAGCTCCTAATCTCAAGCTCCAAATCACTTCAGAGTGATATCAGAGTGTCACCAAATCAAATTAACATACACAATAACTTTAGGTTGCCAAAATTCATTGGAGAATTTGTTCATTGACCAATTGTTTCTTTAAGTTAGTTATTTAGTCTAATTCAGTAGGAATTAAAAGTCTCGATTGCATCATGCAAAATTCCCATTGCTGCAAATAGATGATAACTCCTAATCTCAGGTTCCTGACTACTTTTGTCATCAATTCAAACAGAGGCGTATAACCTAAAAACAAGCTGGGGTTTATCAGCCGGCTGATCAGAAAAAAGGATGCAGTTTTTGCCCAAATATGGAATGAGAGGTTCGAGTAGTTTTTTCCTTCGGTGATATGCTTCTGATACTGATAACTTCACAAGGATTTTGGAGTAAACATTAATTAACAAGAAGGATAGTGTTAACTTCGCAAAGTGGTAATTTGAGAAGAGAAAAAAATTAATAAAAATCCTTCCTATCAATTTCAGACGATTACTCCAAAATCCTTGTGGAAGTTATCTTTACCTTAGTACAAAATATATCGGCATTATTCCTTTGGTTTCGTTATATCTCGCCTCGTTTCGTTTCGTTTCGTTTCGCAAAATAGAGTAAGACTTTCATTAGCTTCAAATTCAGAGAGCGAGCATGACACTACGATTTTAATTAGAACATGAACCTGCATACACGAAAATAATCCCTTAAGATTGAAAAAATATCAAAATTTATTGGTTTTATACAAACCTGGCTGCGGAATCAATTAGTGTTCTGATCCAAATTTCCGTAAACAGGCAGCTTCTACACCTCTCGAACTTAACAGGGCAGCGTGGAAGAATCAAACCGCCAAAATAATTTGAACGTTACCCATTCGCAGAAGGCCCTGCCAATAAATTCAGGAATGGAAAACAACAGTCAATGGACTTCTGAACTATGGAACATCCAAATGTCAAATATCCTTACGTCAATTTCTTTCAGCACTCCTGATCTGGACAAAGCTAGTGGTCCAAAATTATATAGGAAATTGTCATCAAATATCTCAAGTACAGATCTTACAAGGAAAGCTTCGCTCTCTCAGTACGAGTGTGCTTCCTGTCGGCCAGTGTCGACCTCCTGTCGGCCAGTGTCGGCCTCCTGTCGGCCAGTGTCGGCCTCCTGTCGGCCAGTGTCGACCTCCTGTCGGCCAGTGTCGGCCTCCTGTCGACCAGTGTCGAACGAGAGGTCCAACAGACTCTGAACGAGAGTGCATTCACCGACGTCCAATCAAAAATATTGGATCGTACTGCAATTTTACGGTTTAATTAACTGTAAATACTGTCAAATTTATTATTTCTCTGCACCCGGTGCCTGTAAGATCCTTGATTTATCAATAGTAGAATATTGCTTAAGGCCACCTATCGCCCTTTTCACGAGTATTTAACCAAAATCGCGGCTGTTTGAGTCCACATACTTTTAAAAACCTCAAGAGGTGGAACTCTGTCATGCCAAAATTTTTTCAAACGGAAATAAAAACTTTCATGACATTCAGTCATTAATATTTTGATTCGAAAATATGACCAGTGCGGCATTGATAACTGATCGTTTGAAAAAAGGACAATTTACTTGGTATTACATGACATAGCATCGGCACTCCAAATTGATTAGTCTCATCATGTTCGGAGAATTAAATTCTTTGACAGATTTCAGTGAGAAGTCTCCACCAAAGGTAAGTAGTGAAACAACGAGTATAATGTAGGAATAATTCTCTCAGTTTCTTGTAGATGTGTTCATTTTTTGTTGTCAATAAAATCGCAAACAAAGTTGGTTATTTCGCTACATCCTGATGAGGGCACTAGACTGCAGGAGAGTCGAAACGTTGGGTCTATGGATTGTAACTTCTAGGTTACTTTCATCAAATCTTTAAATCAGTGTAGCATCAAACCATATTTGAAAAATTGTATTCATTAGCTCCTCTACAACCTCATGGGAATGTAGACTTACAGTGATATAATATGTTTTAGAAATCAATTTTCAAGTTTATAAACCTTTGTTTAATGATTTCAAGTTGAAAATCTGAAGAACTTGTGAAATAAAATGTTTCAAGTGAATTTCAAAGACAATCCAGAGATACCTCGGAGGTAGGGGTGATCTTCAGGATAAATTTGGTTATTTCACTACATTGTGGGTCTCGATCGAGAAATCCTGTGGTAATATCAAGTCTGTTAACATAATATGTAGTCACAGAACTGTTCGTAGATGGTTGTGCGACATTTTGGATTTGAAGCAGATAATTAATAGAGGAGTGGGTAAAATTTCCGCACAGCCCCATACTATTGTAAAACAAATCTGTTTTCCCAATGGCAATGTATTGTTTTTGTCATTGTTTTCTCTATCCAAGAACCGAATGCATTATGTAGTTATGGGCTGTGCGGAAATTTTACCGAGGAGTGCAAGGATAAGAAAAGTCAAACCAAAGGGAGTGGGGTGCTAATAAATACTAAGCCAGAGGTAGAAAAATTAGCAAACGGCGGAATCGGAAGGAGTATGTCCTACCTCAGTACTATTTCAGAACCTCTTATACATCTAACAGATAACAAAAGATTTTTTAGTTTATAAGGAAAATGATTTTGTATCCCAGTACAATAGATCACAAAATCTTGCCAAGAGAACATCAATTACAGGCTAAATTGTTGCTGGCTGTTATTCTATCATAATAAATTGAGTAAGTGCCCTCCTTTCAATATAAGCACCCCCCTTAAATTTGTTTTTGTTTATAAAATGACTCCATTCAATATCACACCTGTGGTGTGGTGGAGCAGCTTTGTACAGTTCATTTATTAAATAACCCTGTATATTTCCCCACCCCACCTTCCCAAAGCAAAATTAATGAGGACCCCATAATATCATTTCAATAATGGCATTATATAAAAATGATATTCAAAATTAGGAAAAATTTAATTTAATCAAATAATAGTGCTATGAATCAGATGTTTTGCATAATTCTTGTAACTTATGGTTTTCAGAGAAAGTTTTTGCTGATAACAGATTGCCAAAATGATGGAAGCTTTCTCATTCATCACTTCTTATCCTTGTACATTAAAGGTGCGTGGAGTGATTAGTTCAGAAGTCTACAATTTCTGATCTGCAACTGTTAATGATGTATCCATACTTTGCCATATACAATACACATTCTATTCAAGCACAAATGGCTAATTGTTTTATCATACTGTCTTCTACTTAAAAAGAGCACATCTCATTGGAAGGTGGTATAGGGGTTTATGTCACCTCTCTTATAATTACTTAAAAGTAATATGGTAAATTTATCATAGGATCACAGCCAGCATTCCTATGTTCTAGAAAGTTGCCAAAGTAGGACCTGAGTAATTGAGTATTATCAACTGAGATGATAACGTAAATTGGCCACCATAAAGAGTTTAAAAGTTGACATTTCAATTGTTAGCCCTTTGTCAGAGCGATTGGAGGAATTGTCTGTTTTGTGTGGGTTTATGCAGAGGATGGAGCTATGCTATTGGTGGGAATATGGTGATGAGAAAACAAGAATAAATTTAGTTGAATGAAAAATGCTCATTGATACTGCAGGGATTGAGAGTGATAATTTGAAAGATAAATGTTTGTTCTTGAGTCTTACAGCTTTCCTAACTGTGTATAAGGAATACCTGCCTATATTACTTCTATATGAAGATCTCTTTTGTCAGTTGTAGAGAACCCCTCTCAATCTCTTGTGACTGCCTGGAAGTAAGACCTGCCTATATTACTTCTAATATGTTACTTCCCTGCAGGAGAGAGTTCCTCCGCAGTTCATAGTTTCTGAAATTTAGAACTTTGTATATTTGTCTTTCTGTTTTTTTCAGGAGGTTTCAAAGTACTTTTCATTGCCTTGGTCCAGTCTTTTTCTCATTACAGTAATGTTGCACAGAAATTGGTAAGAATTAGACATGTCTCTATTTTTTATCTTAATGTAAAAGCAACAGGATTGATACCTCTATCATTTCAATTTTTTCTAAAAGTCTCCTGAGGAAGTGACAGTCAAACCCAGAGTAGCATATTTCAGAAAAATGTTTTGATCTTGATACCAATCATTTTATGTTGATACTTTTATTCTTTACTTTCATAATATTGGTCTTGTATTGGGCATTTCTTTCGGTTTTGTATTGGGCATTTTATTTGCATGTACATTTGGCTACTGCCAGCCAGTGTCTAACTCAGTGGCTACGTGTTAATCCTTTCATTCCCAAGATCTTAGTAGTAATTCTCCTTGCCATCAGCCATTCAATTCTTATGATGTTAGTTTAGATAATTTGGCATTGGATCAACTAATAATCCCCTAATTGATATTTTTCCTTATTCTCATCACTAGTCTGCTTGATATTGTATTGATTTTGTGAGGAGAAATTCTGTCTTGGTCACTTGTAGGACTTAAAGAGGGTACCCCTCCCCTCTCCCTTCTGGCTTCCTTCACCAGAAAACATTTGATTTAACCCTTTAACTCCCAAGATCTGATGGTTAATTCTCCCTTCTAGCTGTTACACATTTCCTTTTACATTTGATGAGAACTTGGTGCTAGATTAAGAGAGCAGCCTTTACCCAATGAGTTTGAATATTTTCATAACCTGTTTGCTGAATAATGTATGGATATTATCGGGAGAAGTTTCATGTTAATCACTTCTGGGAATTAAAGCAGGGTTAAAACAACTAAATAAGCAATTCCCAACATATTGTAATTGTCATGTGAAACTTTGTTATTCAGGGTATAAACCTCAGCAGTATCTGTGAGAGTGGCCAGGTGACATATGTCGATGGCTTAAGTTGTATATCTGAAGCTTTAGCTGATGAAAGTCAACAAGATGCCTTCAAAAACTCACATAGTAGCACAGTAGGAAATGAAAATGCAGATCACAGCAACCCTTTTAAAAATGTCAGGTAATTCTTTTTGCAATTCTGAATTATTTAGCATGTCTGATTTCCTTCTCCACAGCAAGAGGTTTCCAAAAATATATAAAGTCTTTTCAAAATTTGGTTGAAAAATTTCAAGGATGCTTCCATAACTGGATTAAGTTGAGGTGCACCTAGTCCCTTAAACTGAAGTAAAAAACAAAAATGTATACTGTGAGTCAACCCTTAAACTTCCAAGATCCAATTAGTAATTCTTCCTACCTTCTGTCATACTTTTCCATGTAAATTAGGTATTAGACAGAAGAGGTTGGCCCTTTACCCGAATGTTTTCCTCTAGCTGATAAGCCTGTCTGTTCTCTTAAGCAGTTTACAAGATAATTAACTTTATTCTGTTTTTGTTAAAACTGTTTTACATGTGCTGAATTTATTAGTCAGACTGAGGAGTATCATTTTGTAAACATGAGATTACCCATAATGCATAGGAGTAAATGGCAAAATGGCTATTGTTAAATTGTTTTCCTAGAGCCCCAACATTTACTCTTCAACCATTATACAACAGAATCAAGTCATCTTTGGGTACTGAAACAAAGCCCTGTTTGCTGCTGATTGATGATCTAACCGCTCTACTCTCCGTTGGAGTTCCTCTACAGCAAGTTACCAATTTCATACACTACTGTGTTACTCTGATGTGTCACTCTCCAACTGTGGTGTGTAATGTCTCAAAATACCATCTCAAGACCTTTGATCTGGAATGAGGCTGAAGGTGACCTTGTTGTGATAGAGGCCAGTATCTAGTTAGCATGATAACAAATAAAAATTTACATTTGAGAAGCAGCAACTTTTTATAATAACAAGGTCACCCTTAGCCTCACTCTTGTTCAAAGGCTTGGCAACTAAGCATGTAACTGTAAAATGGGCTACTATATTCTTTATACTGCCATACAATTCTTATGTGAGTTTTGGAGAATTTAGTATTGGATCATCAACTACCAATCCCCTAATTGATATTTTTCTTTACTCTCTTCAGTTGTCTGCTTGATATTGTATTAATATTGCAAGGAGAAATTCCATTTTGGGCACTCATGGGAGTTAAAGGGTTAACTCATGCTTAGCCAATCAATTAGACAGTGGAAGAAAACTTTCCTCTCTCCAGAGTTTAACACACTTTTTATGACTTATTGCAAACTCAGCTAAAACTGGCTTGGTAAAATATTCAGTGTCATCATTTGCATGAGTCAGTCTCATTAATTGTGTTGGGATCACTATGTATTTTGTAGGACTTAATAAACAACTGGCAGTGTCTGATCTGGGATTTCCAGCAAGGGGAGCAATGTGTCCCAGTTAAAAATTTTCAAACCTTCCCTCCCCCATAGCATTTATTCAAACTAGTGCTTGAGAACCTTAGGAAATTGAGCCTTTTATGTACATTACATTCCCTGGATTTTGGTTCCTGCTTTACTTTTAATCTGAAATGTAAACCAAAATATTGTTTTAAGAAGATTTTGTACAAGGAGAAATTACATTTCCTTGTTTCTTTTTCTTTTGAAACATAATTTGAAGTGTGCCTAAATTATCCAGAACAAGTAATTGAAGGGACGTATTTGTTCAAACCGTGGCAATCCCATAATGGTGCTCTCTAGATCAGACACTGAACTGGCATCAAGAATTGATTTCTGACACATAGCAGACCATTTGGATTTAGGTCTGCTCATGCCAATGAACTACACAAAGGGTATCTGGGAAACTTGATTAAGACTTGTGCATTATTTTGGTGAGGGATGAGACCTCCCTCTCCTCATATTTACAATTCCTTGGTCTCCTTCTCCAATCTACTTAGAACATAGTAAAATTCTGTAGGATCACTAGTAAACTCTGTCTTGATATAATGAGGGTAGGGTGTCAAGAAAATTAATCTCAATTACTTTTATAATAAAGATTTCAATAATATTTCACCTTCAGTCAGATGGTTGCCTGGTGACACTTGTACATAATGACAATGATGTTGATGATGAAGAATCCAAGTTGCTATGGAAACAGCTATGCTATCTTACCAATATAGAGTTTCAAGTCAAAGGGCTTAGCAGTGGTTATTGTAAAGATGTACATGGACAGGTTAGTAGTGGGGTAATAAAACCTAAGGAACACACTTAAAGTTATGTGATGCATATTAATGGTCCCCTTGAGTGGGCACTACACTAAGCACATTATAACCATGTAGGGCCACAGAGATGTGAATTAACCCTTTAACTCCCAAGATCTGAATGTTAATTCTCCCCTCTTGCTGCTTAACTTATCCTTGTAAATTAGTCATGAGAATTTGGTGCCAGATCAAGACAACAACTTCTACATGGGAGTGATAAGTTTGAATATTCTCATTAGCTGTTTTCTGGATAATGTAGGGATATTATAGGGAGAAGTTTCATGTTGATCACTTCTGGGAGTTAAAGGGTTAAAAAAGTTTCCTTTCTTAGCTAGATTGAGAAATTTACATGTGAACTATTTAAATAGTTGTATGTTCTTATCAGGATCAAAGAGTTACATCTTAAATTGTCCTCAGAGTAGTAACTACAGGAATGGAAACTACATGTGTGAAAAATTATATAAGATGAATTTTGTTTATTTTGATTGGTTCTTATCTATAATCTCTTCGAGGACAGATGGATGAAGATGGTGTCATTTATTAGAACATTTATCTTTTAATAGATGTAGATTCTATGTTGCTGTGTCTCTGTTCAGTAATAGATCACAGGAGATGTCAAAATATGGTAAAAATATCAGTGACATGCTCAGCTACGTCCCGTGTGCTACTTATTGGACTTACCACGCTTTGACGTCATCTGTGATCTATTACTGAACAGACGCACGGAAACATGGGAATTACTTCATCTTTATTTGATCACAGGTGCTAGATGGGCAAATTCTTAAGTCTCTGAATAAGACAATCCATTGTCTTCCCGCAGAGAGGATTAATTGGTTATGGGCCGTACACTGTTTAATTCTCCCTCTGGGATTGCAGATGGCTCATGACAGGAACAGAAAGGTTTATCTCTTTTGCTTTTTTTTTTTCAGCTAACCATAAATATCAGAGACCAGAGGAACATTAAACAAAGCTCCAAAGTTGTTCAGTACACGACTCACGACAAAAATGTCACTTGCTTCGCTCCTGGAATGTCCAAGGCTGTTCTTTAGAATAGAAGAGCAGATGAATCCTTTCATTCACACAAGTGATCAAAATCTTAACTCTCTTTACGTTTTCAATACCCTTAATTTCACTTCAATAGAATTTTGAGCTGAACAATGAGGAATATGAGTTAAGACAGCGAAAGAGTGTCCGATGTAATACGAAGTACCTGGAACAAGCGAAGGAGTTACTAGGCGGCTGAAAAACATTGAAAGACTGTTTGCAAGAGCATAAGCGAATCAGAGAAACAACAAAAAAAAAACAAACGGACCTTCAAGACAATGTATGTAAAAAATGCTTTATTTTGAAAATAGTAATCTTTTTCTCCCTTCAAAAACAATGAAGTTCCGTCCGTAAAGAAAAGTGATACTTAACCCTGTGAAAAAAAAGTCCGTCAAGTTCAATCGCGCGAGTGTTTTTCATAATTCCACGATACACGCTTTCTGCGCGCGTTGAAGTGTAATAAAGGGAATTTTCCCTTTAAACACCAGTTGAAATACTATTTTGAAAATTTTGTAGAAGAGTTGCTTCGTTCGTCAGCTGTTAGCGTTCATAGATATATGAAGCATTTGGGAAATTTGGTAAGCACTCAAGAAGCCATGGTAACTTTCGACTACGCCTCTAACAACTCTTAGCACCTTTCCTGTATGCTTCATATCTCGATGAACGTACGTTGACGCTTGAACCACTTGCTAATCTGGTAGACTTCATTGGGCAGACGGCTGAACACTCGATAAACAGGGAGGAAAAATGTGCTGTAAAACATACCTTGGGAAAAAATAAAATGAAATAATTTTCCGAATTTCTTAAGGTGCTTTAATGACTTAAAACGGTGCTGAAGGTCCACAACTAGTTATAAAATATAAAACAACATGGTCTCTTTTAAATTCGTGGCACCATTTACATATTACATATTACAAGGCCTCTGTTCTTCCAGTGTCAGTTAAACAAAATAAACCAATTACATCACGAGAAAACAAACGAAGAAATTCCCGCCTAAATTTAATCGTGCTAATCAGTGCTTAGATAGAAAGGATTATAAAGAATCAAATTGGAAAATCACTGCTCGTTTCCCCGTAATGTGATTGGTCAGTTGTGCGTGTGTGTATGTGGCCCCGCTAACTATAGACGGACTTTAACTTGGTAAGGGAATGTCCTCGAGGTATTTAATCAGATTATAAAAGTTCCTTTTTCAGCTATGTATTTCGTCATTAGGACAGTTGGTAGGATTCCAAAATTATTTTTCGTTATGCCAGCCCTCTAAGAGAGTCTAGTTTACACTAAGAATGTTCCAATTTCTTACGATTTACGAATTCTCAGGTCTCGACGACAACAGAAAATGTTAACTATGCCCTATAGACTAATCCTCTAAAGCTCCTATAGAGAACCCTTGCGCTAAATGATATTAATTCTTGTTGCACAGTCTAAAAATATTATAATAAAGCGTATCTCTCGACTGTAACTGGCAATTTCTATGAACAAAGTGAGCTCCGCCTCTTCACGTGGTTCCAAGATTGTTTTGTCACATAACAACATTGTTTTATGTTCTCGTGGTTGACCAATAAGACGACGAACACTGCACGCAAGATGGCAGAACCACTCCTAAAATGTATCACTCTGAAGTACATGGTAGCCGAATAAGTAATAGAAAAATACTGTGGGCTCAATTTCTATATTTTGAAACTATATCTCCTTCCCGTGGAGACATTCCGCTAGGAATGACTAAAACTGATGAGCAAATAAAAAACCATCAGCTCAGAAAATCTTAAATGTTCAGTAAATCCTTAAAAACCACACAGATTTTTAAAACTGTTCATTTAGGTGAACTGTCCGTTTAAGTGTAACTTAACTGGCCCCTGAGGTGGCTTGGAAGCAAGTTGAGACCAAAGTAGGCAGGGAGTGGCAGGAATAGCTGTAGGTGACTCTACCGCTCTGCAAACTTCCAGTAGGGGTGTGGTTCTCCTACATTAGAAGGAGAAGAGTCCTCAGTGGCTGCTTCCGCTTGTACCTGTGCCATTATTGTGCCAGATTCAGTTGCCACAGGGCTTAGTCTGTTCTGAAGAACATCATCCACGTGTCTTCTTCAGGTCCGCCCATCATTCAGCTGACCTTGGAAGGAAGCAGGCAGAGTTTGCTGTGCGACGGTACGTGCGAGAAAACTGTCTCCCAAACCATCTCTCTAAACTTGGCCTACTTGTCGTGATTAGCCGGACAGTATTCAATAGTCTTTCTAGCTGGCAACATGAGCACCAATATCAGGTCTTGCAGGGGGAAGTCGTGTGCACAGTTCTCACAACTGAAATTGACAAGAGATGACTTAGTGGTAGCATGTGGAGTACTTCCGTTGGACCAAAGGAAATTTTAAGTCCGTCAATGAATAGAACTTGATGAATCGGTAGATGATGACTCCATAGGGGGACTTACGGGTCTGTGCAAATCGCTCAGTCACATCATCTGAAGAGATTAGAACTCGCTGAATGCCACTACGCTGCAGGAATTCTTCATATTCTGCAAAGGGGAATGGCGGCCTATTGTCACTGAAAATTTGAGCCGGATAATGATACCTCGATATAGCACAAGGCGTTGACGTGCGAGTCAGCAGACGTTCTCTACGTGGGACCGAACACTTCAAGCCAATAGGAGTGAGCACCAACTATGACAGGTAGTCCCTCAACGGAGAGGTGGCAAAATCTACGTTTCCATGGAACTGTCGGCCTGGACCATGATAAAAGTGGCGAGGCTGGAGGAGTCTTACGGGTCTTTTGGCAAAGTTAACATTCTCGAATGATCCGTAAAATCTCCCGATCTATTCCAGGTCACTATACAGGATGCAGGTCATTGAATTGCAGACAATTTCTGCATGTGCCTCGTGTAGTTATAACAGAATTAGCTGTCTCTGGAAGGGTGGTATAACAGTTCGAAGTCCTCACATGAGGCAGCCCTGCCTGAAAGAGACCTTCTACTTGCCGACAAAGTATGACTTGAGAATAGAATCGACGTGCGAATGGACAAGCCATCCATTTTTTGAAAGCAATAGCGCCTGGACCAATACAACGTTCCTGGACGTTTCTTTGGCAATGTGTGGGAGAGACTGCGTGTCGTTTTATCTACTGAGAAGCCACATGGAAGATTTTTAAATTCTATCATATTTCTTTACTGCAATGAGGTGGGAGCCTTGACAAAGAATCGGCACTGGGGAATTCAGCAAACAATTTAAACCCGATTTCGTTGTGTGTGAAGAAAGGGGGAGGGACCAGTTTTGAAGTCTAGAAGTTGCTAAAACCGGCGTCGCAAAGTCTGTGGCTGACATCTTCATACCAGGGTTTGCGCTCAGTTCTCAATGTAACGTTGCACCTGACAGATGCAACATTTGGAAGCGCAGCCGAAAAATTATGGCGAGATCTTCGATCTGGCTTTAGTTTCTCTTTTAAGAATTTAGGGACCTCGGGTAGTAGGCAATAGACGGGAAGCGGTGGAGTAAAACTGCTCCAATTCCATACTGGATTGCGTCGCTCTTAAGAATGACAGTTGCGTTGTTCATGTGGTGACAATGGAATAGCACATTTGAAGATGAAACCAAGATCTTGGCTTGGTTAAATGCTTTGTCATACTAAGAGGACAACTTGAATTCCTGGGTTTTTCGAAAAAACTGGTTGAGTGGTTAGAGGATTGAGCTTAGCTAACAGCAAGGCACTCAGGTAATCAGGGTTCTCCATGCTTGCCGTTTGATTGATGGCTTCTATATTTCCCTCTGTTAGCGAAATCCCTTTGGCAGAGACGACACATCTATATAAGTTGAGGATTTCCGAATAAATTTACATTAAATGAGCTGAAGTCGCAGGCCATAATGGTTTAGGCAGCGGACATTGTCTAAGTTCTCGAAGTGATCCTCTTAATAATTGCCTGCAATAAGACTCTCATCTTGCTAGCTGTTTCAAGTCTGCCTCTGTGTCTTTGTACGATGGCAATTTTCATCAGTGCGAAATGAGATCTCGGGAATCTGTCGAGATACGTATAGCTTTACCTTAATGAGGAAACCGGAGAGTACAAAATTGAAAGGGTATCGTAAGCTTCGGCGCTATTGACAGAAATCATGACAACACTTCGCGCGTCAGTGTGTCTGCAGCGGCGGAAACGTTGTTTGCTGTTAAATATTGCTCATCGCTCGAAGTAACACCTAATTCTTGTGGCTGTTGCATTGGACTCTTCCATTTTTCCGAGGCTTGGAAAGATCATCCCGTGTTCGTCGCCAGAAATGTTTAATTCTCGGGTGACTAGTACGAAGATAAACACCGTCAGCAAACAAGATGGCGGATCGACTCCAAACTGTATTACTCCAGAGCGCATGGTAGCATAAACGTAACCATGTAATGCGGACTCAATATCTGTATTTTGTACGTTATAACATTTTTGAAGTGAATTTCCATTTTTGTCTCGAGAGTTATTTTTACCATTTGAAATAAACCCAAGGTCGAAAATGAAAGGCAGAGTCGATTTCTTACATCTTTTTCGATCGTTTTGCTGGCACTAATCCAGGATGTCCTGAACCGGTGGGTCGTTTTCCAAAACCACCCGAAGATCGCGGACAATTTTCCTGCAATTGCTTTATCTTTACCAAACTGTCCTTGATCATTTTTACCAAACGATGTCCAGATCTGAACTTTTTCAGAAGAATGGAAAGTGCACGATCATAACTCTCTTTTGCTTGATTCAGCTCACCCAGGTCTTTAAGTACATTTCCCAGCTTTACGTGCGTTTCTCCCACGACAAAACATTCAGGTCCCAGCTCTTTCTGGAAAATGGGTAGTGCGAGTTCAAAATACTTCTTTGCCTCATCGAGGTCTTGCAGGTGTTTGTGCACAATTCCCAGGTTCCTGTATGTTATTCCAACGTCTTCATGCTCAGGTCCACTCGCTTTCAGAAAAATGGTTAGTGCAAGATGATGACTCTCTTTAGCCTGGTTCAGCTCACCCAGGTCTCTGAGCACATTTCCCAGCTTCATGTGCGTTTTTCCCACGAGATAACATTCAGGGCTCAGCTCTTTCTGGAGAATGGGTAGTGCGAGTTCAAAATACTTCTTTGCCTGATCGAGGTCACTTAAGTCTTTATGCACAATTCCCAGGTTGTAGTACGTTTCTCCGACGTAAACGTCCTCAGGTCCGAACACTTTCAAGAAAATGGTCAGTGTACGATCATAATTGTCTTTTGCCTGGTTCAGCTCACCCAGGTCTCTGAGCACATTTCCCAGCTTCATGTGCGTTTTTCCCACGAGATAATATTCAGGGCCCAGCTCTTTCTGGAGAATGGGTAGTGCGAGTTCAAAATACTTCTTTGCCTGATCGAGGTCACTTAAGTCTTTATGCACAATTCCCAGGTTGTAGTACGTTTCTCCGACGTAAAAGTCCTCAGGTCCGAACTCTTTCAAGAAAATGGTCAGTGTACGATCATAATTGTCTTTTGCCTGGTTCAGCTCACCCAGGTCTCTGAGCACATTTCCCAGCTTCATGTGCGTTTTTCCCACGAGATAACATTCAGGGCTCAGCTCTTTCTGGAGAATGGGTAGTGCGAGTTCAAAATACTTCTTTGCCTGATCGAGGTCACTTAAGTCTTTATGCACAATTCCCAGGTTGTAGTACGTTTCTCCGACGTAAACGTCCTCAGGTCCGAACACTTTCAAGAAAATGGTCAGTGCACGATCATAATTGTCTTTTGCCTGGTCCAGCTTAACCAGGTCTCTGAGCACATTTCCCAGCTTCATGTGCGTTTTTCCCACGAGATAACATTCAGGGCTCAGCTCTTTCTGGAGAATGGGTAGTGCGAGTTCAAAATACTTCTTTGCCTCATCGAGATCATATAAGTCATTATGCACAATTCCCAGGTTGTAGTACGTTTCTCCGACGTAAACGTTCTCAGGTCCGAACTCTTTCAAGAAAATGGTCAGTGTACGATCATAATTGTCTTTTGCCTGGTTCAGCTCACCCAGGTCTCTGAGCACATTTCCCAGCTTCATGTGCGCGTTTCCCACGAAATAATATGTAGGGCCCAGCTCTTTCTGGAGAATGGGTAGTGCGAGTTCAAAATACTTCTTTGCCTCATCGAGGTCTTGCAGGTGTTTGTGCACAATTCCCAGGTTCCTGTATGTTATTCCAACGTCGACATGCTCAGGTCCAAACTCTTTCAGAAGAATGGTCAGTGCACGATCATAACTCTCTTTGGCCTGTTTCAGCTCATCCAGGTCTCTGAGCACATTTCCCAGCTTCATGTGCGTTCTTCCCACGAGATAACATTCAGGGCTCAGCTCTTTCTGGAGAATGGGTAGTGCGAGTTCAAAATACTTCTTTGCCTGATCGAAGTCACTTAAGTCTTTATGCACAATTCCTAGGTTGTAGTACGTTTCTCCGACGTAAACGTTCTCAGGTCCGAACCTTTTCAAGAAAATGGTCAGTGCACGATCATAATTGTCTTTTGCCTGGTCCAGCTTAACCAGGTCTCTGAGCACATTTCCCAGTTTCATGTGCGTTTTTCCCACGAGATAACATTCAGGGCTCAGCTCTTCCTGGAGAATGGGTAGTGCGAGTTCAAAATACTTCTTTGCCTCATCGAGGTCATATAAGTCATTATGCACAATTCCCAGATTGTAGTACGTTTTTCCGACGTCAAAATCCTCAGGTCCAAACTCTTTCAGGAAAATGGTCTGTGCACAATTATAGCACTTTTTTGCTTCTTCCCGTTTTCGCAGCATTCTCCGCACATTACCCATGTTCATGTAAGTTCTTCCGACGTCAAGATCATCAGGTCTGAGGTATTTTAGACGGATATTAAGAACAAGATTTAAGTATTCTTCTGCTGCTTCGAATGCAAACTGTTCGTAACACGTCAGCCCGAGTGTTTCTAGGTAATATGTGTCTCTTTGAGATTTAAACATAATCTCTGCAGCATTACGCGTTTTTTCCACGGAAAAGATATCTTTAATTTGTATAATCAATGATTCTAGATGAGGAATGCATTGAGCGTACTTCGCGAAAGTATCTAAGTAGGAAAGATGATCTCGTCGAGTATCTTTAACGAACTGGTAAAATGACATGAATGCTGCTTTCATGGCTCCTAACTTATCATACTTGAGATAATCTTTAAGCACAGCGCGGATGGCATCGTGTACAACCTGATGGATTCTTATAAAGAAAGCATTCTTCTCTTGGTGAAAAAGGAGCAGAGAGCATCTTTGAATCTTCAGTCTGATAGCATCTTCATCATCCATTTCCACCGCTTTGTTGCGAATATAATTGGTTACTATCTCCAAACTTAACGGTTGCGGTGCACAAAAGAAAAGCAAAGTAAAAACGTACTTGATTATAACATTGGTGGATTCAATTGCCTCTTTAACAGCTAGTCTCGTTACCTCACCCATTGATTTTGGATAAACTGGGTCGACGACAATTGTGTCAGTAGCAACTATTCTTCCTTCCTTGAGTTTCTCAAAGTAATCACTCCAGCCAAAATTTGCTTCACCTTTGATCTCACGAACTTCCCTGACGTAAGCGGCAGCTCTCGCTAAGGTAAGGGGCTGATAGTCTAATTTTCGTGCAACCTCCTCCGTCTCACGACCTGAGATGCCAGAAACCTTTTTTAGTAGGTGTACTGCATCATGGGGCTCCATACCTTTGCTGACTGAGACGTGATTGACAAAAGGGCTCATTGACGGAACAGACGCGGTGTCTTGTGTTGTGATCAGCAATTGACCTCTCGCCCACTGCTCATTTCCAGACGCTGGCAAATAGGCACGAATCTTAGTGATGCATTTGACGTTGTCAACAACCAGAAGCCAGGTGGTGTAAAGCTCGACTTTTGTGCCGATTAAGGACTTCAAATGAGCAATCTTCTCGTCTGAGTTAAAATTTGGAGAGTTAAGTGTGTTAGTAATGGCATATTCTGGGCACTTAAGCTTCCTTGCCAAGAAGACATACGACTCTAGAAGCGTGCTTGGGCTCTCAGCATTTACCGTCATCACAAAAAGTGTAGAATTTGGAATTGCATGGACTACATCAGAGTATCTCTTCGCAACGAGACCAGCTAACTGAGATTTGCCACTTCCTGGGTTGCCAGAGATATACAAGTAACTCAATCTGTTCTCGTTGGCTTCTTTAAGCTCTTCTAACAGTTTTGTAATTCCAGCCACCTCAGATTCACGATCTGCAACTTCGTGTGACGGCTTAGGCGGAAGGACGCAGAAGGATGAAATCTCTTTGTTAAGTTGAGCTTCAAGTACCTCCACTTCCTTTTTTAGATCTTCGACCTTTTTTAACACTTTCTTCAATTCTTCCGTGGGGAAATTTGTCTGGTTTCGTATCACTTGAATTTGGTCTGTGGAGAGACCAAGAGCTTGGAAGGCTACGTCAACTTTACTAATTGCATTTTGAAACTCTGCGTCTGTGAGGTGGCCATGTGGCATGTGTGCAAAATCTTCATTACGGAACTTTCTGAGATCATCCACTTTTGATCGTTTAGTTGGATTGAGACCATTACCGATAGAATCGGAGAAAAGAATGGCGTAAAACAGCATGGTACAATCCCATTCAGCTCTGTTTCCGTTAACCATGGTGGCCAGAAGATGGGCTTTTTCCCTCTTCTTGCGCGAAGATTCTCGGTTCTTGAAATCCAGACCATCTTTTGGCTCGTCTTTCCACTCTCCTAACGATGTTATGTAGCGACTGTCCCATTCCTTTTTGAAGATTGCACGCAGACCCCCGGCAATTATATCCGTGGTGAGATAGCAGACCCGGAAATAATTCAACTGTTCGCTGGTGTATTCTTGAGCAGTGGCCATATATAGCTTGACTTAGCTGTTACCTATTGGAAATTGAACCCAGAAGATTTTTAATTGCTCTGCCGGTAGTTGGCGATAAATTAGCAGTCAACTCTTTAGTCCCCACTGTATTCTCTGTTGGCTACGACTGATCCCCCCTCCCCCCCTCCCCCCCCCGAAAACCATGTGATCCCCAAAATCCTCCAATCCCCGCCCCCTGGCAAGAAATAATGACTGATCCCTGAGTGCATAGCTCTAAATGTTGCTTCTACGTAAGGTTAACCCTCTAACTCCCAAGATCTGATCGTTAATTCTCCCCTCTAGCCGCTAGAAATTTCCTTTTAAATACGTACAGAGAATTTGTTGTTAGATCAAGAATAACAACTGCTACGTGAGAAGTATGAGTATTCTCATTACCTGTTTGCTAGATACTGTATGGATATTATAGGGGAGAAGTTACCTCTCAATCACTCCTGGGAGTTGAAGCGTTAAGGATAAGGCTAGGTCGCACTTGGATGGGTGACTGAAACTCTGTGCGTTGTAGATATGTCCTTTTTTTCTCATATGTCAGTTATATTCACGGTAAAAGATGAGATTTGTTTTGTGCTTCGCGTCGACTGTCACTCCATGGCGTTTAAAATTTCGAACAGATGAGGTGATTTTTTTTGCGTGTCGTAGAAATTCAACAATACCAATCTGAAAAATGGAAAAGAAGCCAGCCAGAACTCGTGACAAATTGTTTAGGAAAACGCGAGGGACCTTCAAGTAGAGTGGCACGAATTGCTTTTGACTAATCACTGAGCGCAGTGAAGCCTGACGAGGGAAGTCCCGGATTGTTTCCGATACTAAGAGGGAAATTGTTCTAATCCACGAGGAAACTGAAACTAGTTATTTGCGATAGAAACAACAACATTTCAATAATCTACGGCATCCTCGTTTGCCATAATCGTGAACCACAAGGACATTGTCTAATTTTTTGAAATGTAAGACAAAATAATTATTTTATGAGAAGTACATATATTCGTCATCTCTGTACGATGGCCAATTTAGATTATCAGCCCAGTTGATAAAATAAAACCAGATGATCTTTTAATCATCAAATAGTTGCTATTGTAATCGAAACAATGAATGGTTTGCCCGTAATCGGAAGAAATAAAGATCACACTACAGTACCTCTGAGAATTCGAAGGAACTGAGCAGCGTTCGACCTTGAATGGAAAGAATAAAAACACTCATTAATAAATATTTTACAAAGTCAGTAATAGTTCATGAAGCTACAAGAGTACGCGGAAATTCTCTTGGAGGCGTTTTCCATAAATTGCTTCGATGTCGTTCGTGTTCGTCTTATTGCAAATAAGCTGTATTTTCACTCAGCCCTCGATTAGTCAAAAGGTTCAATCGAACGCACAGCCCTAGAATCGATAAGCAGTTTCCCTTCATGGTTCAATCGCGGAGTTAATTTTTTCAGTAGTTCATCATTTTTTGTTGACTTCATGGCTTGTTGTTAACATAATACTTTAATAAAATTCCCTTTTGATGATTTCCGTTAGAAGGACTACCTCTTGTGCAGACACAGTAGGTAAAAAATGGAAGTTGGAAATTTCGAAACTTCTTGTCGAGCGCAGACATTACCTCTGAAATAATGCACCTGTTTCCCGATTTCTAAATCAAGCTTTTGAAATCACGCAAAAATATTGTACTCAAGTACTCTTTATATATAATTAAATCAACTATACATTATTTATACTCACTTGTCCAAAGTTTTCAACACAACTCTTTTTGAAGTACGAAGTAAAATTCCGCTTACGTTTCACTATAGCCGGAAATTGAAAGCGAAAAAAAAGAACTCAATAAATGTGTGAGTTGATCACACGATATTTAAAACTATTACTTCAAGATAGCCTGCGGGCAGTTGGAAGAGAGGCAATGTAAATTCCGGCTAGGATTATTGTGCTATTACTGACAAAGACTCAGAGATGACTTGAATGTTTACTAGCAAAATCTTAGCAAATTATCTTCAACTATGACTCAATGGTTGATTTCGGCTACGTCTCAAGCTACGTAAACGCAACAGAATTCTTTAAGACATATAAACACTTAAAAAAATGTCAAAACTACCTTTCAAACAACACAGAGCCACTGTAAACTTAGGCTAGGATTAATGTTCTATCACTGACAAAGACTCAGAGATGACTTGAAAATATATTTAGTAGAAAAATGTTAGCAAATTATCTTAACTATTACAGAATGGTTAATTTTAGCTCCGTCTCAAGATCAACTACGAGCAATTTGCAAGTGACTACAATCTGTTTATTAGAACATTGAAGCTCGTTGAAATATATTGAAATCCTAGTCTGAAATTCCACCATTTTGGACCTTAAAACGGATTTAAAAAAAGTACAATTTAGAAAAGTTTGATTAAGACAGAGAAGGTTTCATCGACGAATTCCGAAAGCGGAAGTGACATTGCGATTGAACTTAGACTTAGGAGCCTACATGCACCGAAAAAACCCCTTCAGATTGAAAAAAAATAGTGATTCAATTTTTTTCTACAAACCTGCCTGCAGAATTAGCTTGTGTTCAGCTCCAAATTTCGATAAACAAACAGTTTCTACTCTTCTCGAAGTTTATAGCGTGGTAGAATTAACGAAGAAAAATTCCGGGACATTCCCCTGTCCCAGAAGCCTCAGCCAACACATTTTGAATTATATAATAAGCTCAGTTATTATAAGAAGCTCAAGCAAACATTCTGATTGGTTCTCACTCATGATTTATTGGAGGACAGACGTATAGATGACATCATCATCAAAACTTTTTTCAATTCTTTATTATATAAAACAAATAGATTCCAAGTTGCCGTGCGTCTATTCAGTAATAGATCACAGAGGACGTCAAAATGTGGCAAAAACATCAGTGACACACTCAGCTGTGCCTCGTGTGCCACTTTTTTGTTCTTACCACATTTTGACTTCATCTGTGATCTATCACTCGGAACAGATGCACGGCAACTTGGAATCTATTTGTTAAATGGACCACAACGGCCAGTGGACTCTGAACAGTTTCTGAACTGTGTAACAAAAAAATTCCTTTACGTCGAGTTCGTTTAATATTTCCGATATGGACATGGCTACTTATCCAAAATCATGACTAAACTTTTCATAAAATGTCTAAAATACAGTACTGACGTGGAAAGCTTCATTCTCCGAGTTTGCCTCGTACGGAAAGATTTTCCTTTCGCGGACTGATGGAGTGTTTTAACAGACTCGAGGGGCAAATTAACAAGATCGCATCGTGCTGTAGTTGTACGGTTTACGCAACTGGAAATGCTCAATCTGCTCAGCTGGAGCTAAATTTACTTGATTACCCTAACACAACTATAAGAAAGAGATCACACTACAGTACCTCTTTGAATTCAAAGGAATTGAGCAGCGCTCGACCTTGAATGGAAGAAACAAAAACACACGTTAATAGGTACTTCACAACTTCGGTACTAGTTCAAGCTGCTGCAGTTGTACGCGGAAATTCCCTTCGAGGCCTTTTCAATAAATCGTGTCGATGTTGTGCGTGTTCATGTTGGGGTAAATAAGCTGTATTTTCAGTCAGCCCTTGATTAGTTAACAGGTTTCAATCGAACGCACAGCCTTACAATCGATAAGCAATTTCCCTTCATGGTTCAATTGCGGAATTGATTTCTTCGGTGGTTCATCATTTTTTGTTGACTTTAAGGCTTGTTGTTAACATAATAATTTTCATAAAATTCCCTTCTGATGATCTCCGTTAGAAGGACTGCCTTTTGTACAGACACAGTAGGTAAAAAATGGAAGTTGGAAATTTCGAAACTTCTTGTCGAGCGCAGACATTACCTGCACCTGTTCCCCGATTTCTAAATCAAGCCTTTGAAATAACGCTAAGATATTGTACACAAGAACTCTTTATCTATAATTAAATTAACTATAGATTATTTATACTCACCCGTCAAACGTTTCTGGAAGTCTTCAACGCAACTCTTTTCGAAGACTGAAGCAAATTCCGCTTACGCTTCACTATGGCCGGAAATTGAAAGCGAAAGAAAATAACTCATTGAATGTAAGTTGATCATATGATCTTTAAAACTTTTACGTCAAGATAGCCTCCGAGCAGGCGAGAGGTCTGGAAGCCAGGATTAGACCCTCTCGCCGGCTAGTGTTCGCCAAGGCCTCAAAGCTTAATCCGCAGGCCCACAGGCCCACATCATGCGCCTCAAATCGTTGCGAAAACTGCTTTGTTATGAATAATAACCATGCAAACTTTTCCTCGGAGATTGCGGGATGTCTGTGCGGTACCTCACAGATACTAAAGCGAAACACGCATGTCATACACTCGAGTGACTTTCTAGCTCATTTCACTTTTTCATGATTGGACAAAATTCAACAATTAAGAGTCCTTTGGCCAATTCATTTCATACCAAGCTTTACTTGGTCTGATATGGTGTCAGTAAAGGGGTAAGGGTTAACTTTGCAGGACAGGAAATTTTTTTCACCAAAACTCTGACGACTACTCGCAGTCTAATTTGACGGCCGCCAGAACAATTTCAAGAACTGCACGAACGGATTAATGTCAGTATCTGTCCAACTGGCACCTCCCCCTCCTCTAACCCTACAACAGTCAGCTAATAATAACACTGGGTTAATGTTGGATTGGGGGAGGGGTAGGTACGCTGTTGTTAGGATAATGACATTGATCTATTTCACTTAGGTTTCGACGTTCCTGCTGCTTCAGCAGTAGAGAGGGTGTCAACATTTTTTATTTCAGTGCTCATTGTCACTTATATCTCCTTTGGAAAAATACTTGATTGTGTCATATGATAAAATTTACCTGATGCCCCCATAAGGCTCTTTAAGATTTCTATGACCCTTCCCCCCCCCATCAGCAGTTAATTGACAGTCATTATTCTACAGTACCCCCCTTAATACTCTGTTGGCGATGACTTTCCCCTTCTCCTCTCCCCCTGAAAACCATGGGTATCCCCTAAAATTCTAAAGGAATTTCTAGGATTGAGTAATGAGTAGCATTCATATTCATGTTACTGCAGCTGCATTTTGGTCAGAAAAATAAGAACAAGAACAGTGCCTGCATTACAATAAAAACACAACGCTATTCCTAAAGTGACAACGCGTATAAAGGATGATGAAAATGCTGAAGAGAAATTATAGAAGGAGAGAAAAAGTGAGGGAATAGTCAATCTGTTCCTCGAAAATTGACGACATAGTTTTGTGATAAAAAAGGAATGGAAACAGCAAGTTAGTTGTAGTCAGTTAATCAAATAAATAACTTTTATTGGTTAAATATCACACAAAATAGACAAAATACTAAGCTATGATGTAAAAACTGCATAAGAAAGCTTCCTTCCTCTACATATAATTACAATGTTATGTGCTCTTAGAACCAACACAAAGTTTATCAAAGCATACCAAAATTATAATATTCTGCAAATACCTATAGTAGGCCAATAAATAATTGTGTCTCGCCGGGTGTTTTTTTTACGTCGGTCTTTACCGTCTTCTTACAATAAAATATTCTTTGCAAAACAGCAGGTTCTGTTCAGACTGCAACCAGTAAAATTTAAGTTAGAAAATACATGAGAAATACGTGTAAAGAGGTTTCCTGCGTAAGAGAAATCTTACTTCATTGATAATTAAAAACATCAATGAGGTCTAGGATGTATATAATACTATATAATATTATGCATGTATATTATATAATAATAATGATAATAGTAATAATAATATCAATAATAATAATAATATCTATGATAATAATAATGATAAAATAAAGAATGATAATAATAATAATAACAATGATGATAACATAACAATGACAATGCCAGTGACAGTGTTATACTAGTGATCATGGTGATGACCACAATGACAACAATGACAGTGATAATGATAATGACAATGATAACAATAATGACAAGGATAACGATAATAACAATGATAATGACAGTGACAGTGATAATGACAATGATAATGATTATAATAAATGATTAATGGTTCATTTTGACTTTAACCCTTTAACTCCCAGAGGGATTAACATGTAACTTCTTTCCATACATTATCCAGCAAACAGACAATGGAAATACTCAAACTTTTCACATAAGGCATAAGTTGTTATCTTAATCTAACACCAAATTCACAGAACTAATTACAAAAAAATGTGTAGCACCTAGAAGGGAGAATTAACAATCAGATCTCAGGAGTTAAAGGATTCAGATAAGTCGGAACCATTAAGGACTGCCATGCATTCCAATAGATGATCACTCGATTGGAAGATGTCACATAAACCAATGCAGGAAGGTTCTTCCCTGGTGAAAAAGCATAACTCCCTGCACAGAAACCCATCACATTTTCACCAAAGCTGAACTGTACCACATTCTTAAGGCGATCAATTATATAAGTGTTTCCCTCCCAAGAGCATAAAGCTATTTCCTCATTGCCATCACCAGTAATGTCGAGTTTTGACAGAGCAAAGAGATTGTAGAAGCCTTGCTCGATACAAAGTGACCACTGAAGCTTACTTCCATAAAGTAGAGTCACCTGACCATCTTGAGTACATAGCACTAAATGTTTCTCTAAGCAGGAAGCTGGTGCATCAGGATCGCAACATTTTAGAGTGAGTAAATTTAAAGGAATGTCTTTACTTCTTCCCCAGACATGGGGAAATTGTCTAAAAGTGGACTTGGAAGCTGAGCTTGACATCTAGTAGAGAAGGGATTTTAGATCAGAATGTTTGGCACAAAACTGAAGAGGACAGAGTGATAAAGAATTTTTTTTTTTTTGTGATTCAGTGTCACTAGGACTACACCTACATAATGAGCATGCACAAATTAACTTACTCAAGGATTAAAGAGCCTGAGCCCAGTTGTTCAAAAGCTACTGCTAATTGCAATTCGAAGGCTTAGTGCTATCCAAAGGTTAAATTATAATTTTTTTTATTGCTTTGCTCAAAAGCCTTCTTAGAGCATCCAATCATCAAATTCCAAAAAAAAAAAATAATTATACCGAATTTTCTTCGAAAGCTTTCAGATCTGAAATCAGATTTCACACTAACCTGGGTTGCCTTCACCCAGCTTTGAACAACCTGGCCCTGGTGTGTGGTTTAGATCATCAACAGGTTCTCAAGTTAGATTTTTTGTGGGAAAACTAAAATTTGTTCTCTGCTCCAATCTTGTTAAAAATGAATAGCATTTTCTCTACTTGACTACATAGCTCAAAATACTCAAACTTACTGCAAAAAACTTTCAAGAAAAAAAAAGAAAGCAAAAGAATCTTAAAGACAAAAACTGATCACAAATTATGACCAAAGAGAATTGTTGCAAACTCTAAGTTAAAATTTCCAAGTTAGCAATACTTTTTTACCTGGTCACCATCTTTCTGTTGTTCACTCAAATTCCATGAATTCAAAATGATATAAGAACCCCCAGGATATGAGGCCAAAAGGTACCTGGTTGTCTCCATGTCAAACACTACAAGGGAACCAATCTGTCTTGGAATTGTCCAGTGATGGACTTCCTCAACCTTAAAAGACACGGTTCGCTTTTGAACTGCATCTCCTGACACTTTGTTTCCTACATGGTACAACTTGGCAATTGTTCCTTCTTGCTTTAAATCTTTTCCATTCAATTTTTGGGCTGTCTCTATGCTGTTTTCGGTAATTTTATCCAAATCATGTCTGTTGGTAGACACTGATGGCTTGACCTTTTTTTTCTTGTCTTCTTTTTCTATAACAAATCAGAAATTGTTGATGATATAGTCAATACACTCTTTAGGCATGGGTTACTGAGGCAGGCTTATGTTATTTCACTGTGTTGTGATCTCAGTCAGGACAAATAACTTATCATCATAGTGCCTCTCTCCAACCAGTCATGTATATTTAAAGTAGTCTTATATTGTCACAGAAACACTCAAATGCTGGGTCGAGGGAGGGGGGAAGGAGACTGAATGGATCTATATCCCCAAGGAACACTTCTTGTCTCTTCATGGTATGAAATTGTGGCAGTGTGAACCTATTGACTAGTTTGTAAGACTTTGATTTCTCAAGCACTGGTTTGGCTTATCTTTAAGATCTATTGTTGTCCATTGGATGAGAGCCAAAAAAAGAGGGAAAAAATGTTATTTTAATAAGCAGTTTATCTGATGGCTTGCCTTCTGAACTTTTAGTAAAACTGGAGCAAGCTTTCCTAGGTCAGGTATGTGTTATCCTCAAAGAACTAAGAGCATGCTTCTCTAAAATACAATAAGTGACATATAAAAAAATAATCAATTTATGTAGATCAGGGTTGAGGAAAAATGTCCATTTCAAAGGACTTATGGTTAAGAGGCTAAAATTTATGAATATTAAACTCTTAGGCTGTTGTACTGATATCTGTAATCTGCAAACAAGCTCTGACTGGCATTGTGGCATGCTTTATGAGCCCTAAGAGATGAGTCAGCATGCAGAGTGCACCAGTGAGGTGCACATTCTGTTGAACATACAACAGAAATTTAATTTTTCTGATTGAGAACTGAAACCTCTTTGGATGAAAATCAGTGTAACTTAAAGAAGTTGCTTTGAAATGAATTCCTTACTGTTCTATGAAATAAACATCACACTGACTGACAAAAGTTATGAGTCTATCTATGAATGTGAATTATTAAGAATATCATTTTCATTGTTATCATCATCATCTTTAGCACTATTTTTAAGAGTAGTAGTAACAGTGCTATGATAGGATTTTATTTCATTTTTTATTTTCAAAATTTCCACATGCCTCTTGGAAAGTATGTGGGAGGTCTGATACTCCTTGTTTTGAGTTAAGTAACCACCTCTACTAACAATGAATATAGGCGTATTTAAGTTACTAAAACCCTTAATATTCTGTTCTGAATCACACCTGTGCTTGGCTGATCACAGACGTCACTCTGCTTATGATGCTCTTTCGCAACATGCAACTTGTGGATATACACAGCTCTATCTGCATGACCTGTTACAAGTTCCAGCATTCCATCTCCATCCACATCTGCCAACAAAATGATCTTACAATTGGAAGGAAGAAGAAGGGAGGAAATTGGTTTAACAGTCTCTTGTGTTGTCTCTGGAGTAATCTGCAAAATATTTCAAACAAATTTGCTGAGTACAGTGTGTGGAAGATGTTTTGACCCAGTTACTGGTGAGGTTTCCCCAAATAAAGGGATGGAGAGTCCTTGCCTGAGTCAGTTTGGTATGTTGTGTTCTTGAACACAAAAAAAAAAACAAAAACATGAAAAACATGAAATAACACTGTAAGTCAGTCTAAAGGTTTTAAATGCAGATTGAAAAGTCAGCTCTTAAGGCAGTTCTTTCAGACATAGGGGTGAAGTCTCAATCACTTGAGTTGCGCCGCTGTGTTGTGTGTTGTGGCAGCTTGGGGCCTGCCTTTTCAGCTCGCAACCACCAGTTTTTTTTAAGATAAGTTGAAATAGTGAATTGGATTTAAATTACTTGGTTAATGATGCTATTAATTTAAGTAATATTGTCACTAAAAAACCCTAAGGGAATGATTCGGTAAAGCTCATTGTTCGTTATGTTCAATGCTGAAGGACACAATCAAAACTCAGTCATTTAACACTCTTTGACACTAACATCAAAACAAGTTGCTGGAGTAGGCTAAGGACTTGTGTGCAACTTTTAAAAAAATTAATTCATTGGCACTTAAATTAAAATCAAATTTTTAAAGTGTAGTACACTTGGAGGCTTTTAAAAAAATTAATTCATTGGCACTTAAATTAAAATCAAATTTTTAAAGTGTAGTACACTTGGAGGCAAGATTTCCATGTAACGTTCATCGTCATAATCATACGTCATTATTCATTTTTGATAAAAGAAAACAATTGATTAACTTTGAAACTAATACCTTGTATGAAAATAGTACGTTGGGGGTTCATGGAAATCTTTCTTGATTTCATTCCCTTGACAAACACTTTCCAAAAATTCCGCACGAAGCAATTTTGTTTAGAACGAACTGGCTCCTATATCATCGTCTACACTTGTGAGCTGCTGTATGCGATGAAGCAAAAATAAAAGCGATAAACTTTTTAAATTGCTCCAGATTTTGAGTCGGTGAGAGGTGAGCCCAAAAAAAAAACCTGTTTGAATATGAATGAATCAGGAAGCAGACCAAAAGTTTATATTGTCCTCGATTTCTTTACAGCACTACCTGCGGTATATATTTGGCGATCGACAAGTTTGTTTTTCGTGACTTACAAAGAATATATGACACCATCCCTCCACTGTTACACAGAAAAGATAATTTTCCCGTTGATTCCGAAAGTCTCCCACTCCAACACAAGTTATCATACCCAAATTACGGCATGATTTGTAAGGTTTGACAGAGCTGCCCTTGAATATCAACAATTCGCCATTGATTTGTCCAACTACAAGTTCATTGTCACCATCATTGTCGACATCGGCTAGCACCAAAGCTTCGTTGTTCAAATTATCGGAAATCTCGAACTGCAAATTCTCGACGAACGAGACAGATCTCTTACATGTATTCATAGGTTAATAAGAATACTCCGTCGATCGACTGCTATATTTACGATAACTTTCCATGGCTGAAAAACATAAATCAAAAGTCTTACTTTGTATGGAGGGGTAATTATGGAAAATTGTGGTTGGATTTGCTCAGGAACAGCTGGTTAGCCGGTATGAGCGAAGCATTTTTTTCCAGATTAATATTGAATGATGGCTGACTATTTAGATGAAAATCTTGTTCATTTGGTTTCAAATATTCAAGAAAATAGTTTTTTTTTTTTCAAACCCCGTCACTACTCTAGTAGATAACGTATTTCGCGCCACTATGCCTAGTACGTGAGTAAGAAACAGCTCTCGTGCTATTTCGCTCGGAAAAGCAAATTTTCTCGTTCTATGGAAGATTTTTGGCGCTTTCCATTCGGATTATGGCAGGAGACGAAAATTTTCCATCAATTCTCAATTTAAACGTTGGTGGTTATGTTTATACAACGACTATGGACACTTTGACGCGCGATCCAAACTCAATGTTAGGAGCCATGTTCAGCGGACGACAACAGGTAGCTAAGGATACGAGAGGGAACTATTTTATTGATCGAGATGGAGCACTCTTTCGCCACATTTTAAACTTTTTACGTACCTCAGAGCTATGCCTTCCTCAATCATTCGACGAATTCGATCAACTGAGTGCCGAAGCTGACTTCTATCAAGTTGGCGAGTTGATAGAAGCGCTTCAAATTTACAGGGAAGATCGCCGGAAGAATATGCAACTCAGTGAAGGACAAGGAACTATTATCATTTCAGTGGACAGATATCGAAACCAGCTGCTGTTGAGCGGGCGCGAAGATCTCATAAAAGAGGTTTTTCAGGGATATATCAAACCATCGGAACTTGTGTTAACTCTACTCCCCGCACGGGGATACGTGAGGGATTATCGGGTCCCCTGGAGAGCCGGGGGTGCGGAGCTCACCAAAGCCGACGCCTTTGATTTGCTTTATGGTCATGGATTTGTCTTAGAAGGTTGCAACGGAGGTGGCAGTGATGGTGAACTGGAAGGAACTCAATTTCAGGAATATATTTTTGTCCGAAAGAATAAATTGTAGCGCCTGCCTATAGTTAGTTTGGAACTGTATGTTGATTAAAGTAATTTTATCAGAGAGAAGCTCTCAATGGAGATCGAAGGAGGGTGTGAAGAGTAGGAACTTTGGTCCTGCCCCTCCCCCCACAATGCTTTTAACTTTCTTCTTTTCTCTTCTTCTCTCATTTTTTCCCTCCACTCTCTTTTTTATTTACTTTTGATTTATTAGTATGAGCCATTTGTAATTGAAGTTTGTGAAGAGTTTTAATCGAAATACTTATGTAGAGTGCTGGGGTTTGTGGTATGAAAAGAATGTTAATTTTGCAATAATTTATAAAGGTTTTTTTTTTTTAAGTATCCAGGAAAGTAATTTCATGGCAGTTTTCTGAGAATTGTTCAAACTTTTTACCACACTCTTTCAACTGTTTTTATTAACATACGGCAGCATAATTTGCCTATCTGCAGGTGTTTTTTAGAAATTAAACTGGTTTGCCCTGCTTTTGTGTTCTATTACTCAATTTTTTTGAAAGTATGATAGCTCTCACTTGTCTGTATGTAATTATCTTTTTTTTTCTGCCAACAAAGGCCTGCATGTGTTGACATGGAAATCTCATATGATTTGGAAAAATTGCATCACTTTTCAAATTTTCCTTATCTCATACTTACCTTTAACCTTTTCACTCCTAAGATCTCATCACTAATTCTCCTTACTGCCTGCTATACAATTCTCATGATATTAGTTCTGAGAATTTGATATTGGATCAACTAATAATCCCCTAATTTATAATCTCTATTCTCATCACTTTCCTGCTTGATATTGTATTGATGATGTAAGGAGAAATTCTGTCTTGGTCACCCATGGAAGCCTAAGGGTTATATGGAAACTTAGAGGGATCTCTTTGGTTTTATTCTTCAATGTACTTAAGTACAAAGTACCTTAGATTCGGTCACGCTTCAAGGTCACGCAACCTCACGCAACACGCTAAACGTCAATCATAAACGCAAAAGAAAAACAGTTCAAAAAGAAAAGGAAGATAACAAAAATGAACGGAGAATATTTCCGGTCAGATAAAAAAGACGCTAAAATAATCTTTTGATTTCCCCTGCAGTCTTAAAGTGAATAAGCAGACGTTCTTCAGTTTCCTGGAAACTCCACGTTCGATCGGATGGAATGAACTGAATACATTCACCAATCATGTGGCGGCTTATTTTGAAATAAACCAATAGAAATGTCTCTTATATCATATCGTGCTTTACATATGGCTCGTGTGCTCACTTCCACCTTTTCCCCTCTTACCTCGTTAGCTCGCGAAGGTCTGCGAAACTACAGATCGATTTCTTGCCGAAGAAAATTGTGTTTTTCTCACTTGATCAGAAGGACTATGGCATATTCAACTTATGATAGTGGAGCTCCAAATTCCTTGGAATACAGAATGTATTTTCGTAAGTATTCGCAAAACCTGAAAAATATGGATCTCCATTCGCCTCAAGCTTCACTTGGAGAAAATCGATCGAATTGACTCGATTTGTGATAATAAACTTAGCGATACTCGATACTGAAGATCTAAAAGAAAATGATAGTTGGTATTTGGTGGAGATCGAATATATGTAAAAGTTAACTCGATCACATCTTGACACGGAGGACTAGGGTGTAATTCGTGTTTAATGAAGTTTAGTTGTAAATTTTTAAGCTTGTCGATGGGGCACATTTTTGGCATATAAGTTTTTGGTTAATTAATTTCTGAGGGTAAAGAGGAAAAATATGTGTTGATACAGATTTCTAGTCACCTCCAAAATAAGAACGACCTTTCAACTGAAGGAAGTGGTACAGTGTCGGTTTTCAGCGAATGTGATATGGGAGTGGGGTGGCTAATTAACTTTCGAGGAATATTGGTTTCAAAGAGGAAAATCGCCCAAGGTTTTTTGTGAAGTAAGCAATGCCTGCGTTTACGCCTTCTAATTATTTTTTAAAAAGCTAAATGGAGACATTTTTGGGGCAGAATTTGTTTTTGAGACAGTGACACAAATCTATCAATCAATTATCAGAAATGTCAGTTTATAACTCTTCTGAGACTGGGGAGTAATTGGTAATCAATGAATGTAGGATACCTGACACAGTGATTTTACACAAGGGCCTTTACAAAACTCTTACTGATAAATCTATTTGAAATTCTCAGAGGACCAAAGTGGCCAGGCTATTTCTCCCTTCCATGACATTCCACTATTTGCTGATAAAGATGTAAGTGCATTAAAAATTAAATACAACTTTTTTTTGGCTGTTAAAGTTCAGACTATCATGTATTGTCAGTCCATAGTGATAAGACTCTATAATCCAAGTTGCAAGGAATTATACTGAATTTTTCCACAGTAGAGCTGAATTCAGCTACATGTTTACTCAAAGAACAATTTAATTTGCCATGCTCTGTGATTATCACAGATGTGTTGAGTGTAATTTAACCCTTTGCCTCTCATGAGTGACCAAAAGAGAATTTCTCCTCACAATATAAAGACAATATCCAGCAGACAAGTGATGGGAATAACGAAAATATCAATTAAGGGATTATTCATTTTTCCAATACCCAATTCTCCAAATTGACACAATAAGAATTGTATGACAGATAGTGAGGAGAAAACTAATGAGATCTTAGGAGGTAAAGGTTAATGCACAGAGGGTCCACAATAAGTCACAATTAAAGTAGATGGCTAGCAGCACGAAGTAAGCAAGCTGACGAGTGGAGAGTTTCTTCCAAGGGTCTCTACGCATGCCCCAAAAAATATCATTTTGTAATGTAAAGGCTCTGAAATGCCTTTTTATGCATTCCTTTGGAGGTATACATGCAAAGCATTGTGGTCGTCAGTTGGTTTGGTAAATACACTTCAGTTAATGATTAGAAAAGTCCTTGACTAGTCAGAAAAAGTGTGATACAAAGATGGCTTTCATGAAAGTTGTCTGTTTGTAAAATGTTTTGAAGCATTGAATTGTCACAAATGACAACTTGCACTGTCAAAGTTTTTCACAAGAAGTATATAGCTCAGAAATTGAGGTAACTGGTTTTTTAACTAGCAGCAAGCACTTGATGAGAACTCTGTGAACATGGGTCACTACAAATGTTGTCATCAAAAATTTTATTTTTACTGAAGATTGACACTTATCTGTTTATTTTATGTTTCTCTTTGCTCTGTTTAGAAGGCAATCTATAACATGGTAGTTGAAGTTCCAAGATGGACAAATGCCAAAATGGAGGTTTGTTTTTTTGTTTCAAGACTCAACAATTTCATATACAAGAATGCATTGCTTGGCCTTATTATAACCTCATTTGTTTTTACTGAGATACAATACAATGATCACTTAAACAACATAAGGAGGAATTCTGGTATTTAATATGAAGCAGTAAAGTTATTATATGGCTTCATTGTTTAACCATTCACACTCCATCATCAGTCAGCATATTCTCCATACTGGTCTTTATACATTTCTTAAGTTGAGGACAGGGAGAATTTGTTTAACAATCAAGAGCTTCTTTAGTTGGTGATTATTTCTTTTATTCTCATGGCCTTGATATGGGACTCAAGGGTGAAATTGTAGGGAGAAATTAGAAGCTAGTCACTATTCAAAGGGTTCAGTTCACTGAGATGATGTACCAGTAAATGGTAGGCGTGTGAAATCTAACTAAGAGCACCTTCTAATTGTTGAATCAAAACTACAGTTGTAAGGTTACTTTATAAATCTTCAACTAATTAATATGCAAATTTTCATATATTTTTGACATGTAAAGTTTTAAAAGTGATGATATATTTATATGTGAATCCAAAACAGATTTCTACCAAGGAAGCTCTGAATCCTATTAAACAAGACTGTAAGAAGGGAAAACTCAGATTTGTTCATAACTGCTTCCCCTATCATGGATACATATGGAATTATGGAGCATTGCCTCAGGTTTGCTATTTTTGGATAGTTTCAGTTCCTTGGTAATTAGGAAAACCTGCTAATTATTGTTTAAAGTATTTTTCGTGGTCTGCAAATAACCTTTTCATGGCTACTGGTATGCTTGTGCATGACATGATCTACCTACCATTTGCTACAAAATGATATAATTCTACTCTTGTACTGTCAAGTTGATTCTACCCTAATGAAAATCTTTGAAAAATGTTCAAGGATCCTAAGAGATCTTTATCAGGACCTTTGAAGCTCTTGATGAGCTTGTCAAAGATCTATGAAAAATCTTTGAAGATCTTCTTCAGGACCTTTGAAGCTCTTGAAGACCATGTCACAGATCTAAGAAAATCCTTGAAGATCTTCTTCAGGACCTTTGAAGCTCTTGACAATCTTGTCAAAGATCTATGAAAATCCTTGAAGATCTTCTTCAGGACCTTTGAAGCTCTTGAAGATCTTGTCACAGATCTATGAAAAATCCTCAAAGGTCTTCTTCAGGACCTTTGAAGCTCTTGAGGGTCTTGTCAAAGATCTATGAATAATCCTTGAAGATCTTCTTCAGGACCTTAGAAGCTCTTGAGGATCTTTTCAAAGCTCTATGAAAAATCCTTGAAGATCTTCTTCAAGACCTTGGAAGCTCTTGAAGATCTTGTCAAAGATCTATGAAAAATCCTAGATCTTCTTCAGGACCTTTCAAGCTCTTGAGGATCTTGTCAAAGATGAAAATCCTTGAAGATATTTAGAGATCTTTCATTTTCATGCCAAGATTTTGAACTCTTCTGGGGGAAATAACAGATCACATTACAGCCTGTAAGCTGCCTCATATAGAAATTGTATTCCTCATATGTTGCCACATACTAATATTGTATAATTTTTATACTATTATTTTAGACCTGGGAAGATCCAAAGCACAAAGATCCGAACACAGAGTGCATGGGAGATAATGACCCAATAGATGCCTGTGAAATTGGTACCATGGTGAGTGTAATACTCAGCCAACTATTCTGTTCATTGCTTTATATTCCATTTTACAGTTGTGTGCTTGATTGCCAAACCTTTGAACAGGAGTGAGACGAAGGGTGACCTTGTTTTGATACAAATGTTGCTGCTTTTCAAATGTAAATTACTTTGTTATCATGCTAAGTAGATACTGGTCTCTATTACAACAAGATCACCTTCAGGCTTACTCCGGATCAAAGGCTTGGTAGCTAAGTACACAACTGTAAAATGGGGTAACTTCATCATCCAAGTGATAGACAAAGGGTTTACACTCAAAATGTCAGCTTTGAAACTCCCTGCAGTGGCTATTTTACATCATCAACTCAGTTGATAAGACTAAATTACCCTGTTATACTCTCCCAGCGATG